GTCTCCGACTCCATCAGGTTGTCCAAGGATTGCCGAAGTTCGAAAATTTCTTTCCGGGCCCTCTTCAAGGACTTCTCGCTCTCCTTGTGGGCGTCCTTCAGCCTCCTCTTCTCCTCCTTAAGGATGTCGATTTCGCTGGCCTGGGCGCCAGCTTCCTGCGCCAGCGCATCCTTCTCGGCCTGCAGGGTGGCCAGGTTATTGCGCTCCTCGTCCAGGGCGCCTTGCAGACGAGACAACTCCATGGTTGCCGTCATCTGGGCTTCCTCACACTCTTTCGCAAACTGCTCGCGGCGTGCAGTTGCGTTCTCCAGATCCAACTTCAGCTGAGCAGCCGAAGAGGAAGCCTCGAGCGCCTCCCTTTTTGTCTCATTGAGGCGTCGGGCGCCTCTTTCAGCAAAAAGAAGGATCTGCAATCATGGGAAAAGGGTCAGTAAGTTAGAAATAACAAGTAGAAAGGATATGAAAATACAAGTGCAAAGAAGCATACCTTAGCGCCCACTTGGGCTAACTCAGCAAAATGGTGATCACTTGTCACCTCGGAGGGTATTTGCCAGGACTTGGCGGCCGCGATTGCCAAGCCCATGGCACACCCTCGGTCAACGGCGACCAAGGGGGAACAGTTCATGTTGACCCGTCCAACCTCGGTACGCCGTGGCCGAAAGATGGGGGGGGCGCCCATCGGGGCCTACATAGCGCCCCTCTTCATTTAGATGAAGGTGGGCGTTTTCCGCCGCCTCCGCCTCCACGCCCACTTCATCGTAGGCGTCCTCGTCGCAGCAGGCGTCCTCCTCGCCTACTTTCTTCTTGCCCCTGGCGGCCCTTTTACTGGCCGATGTTAAGGGGGAGCCCGCCCTCTTCCCCTTGCGGAGCAAAGGCTCCTCTTCTTCTTCCTCCTCCGCGGAGTTAACCTCCTTATCCGCGGGGTCGACATCAGGCGTCCCCTCGCCTTCTTCCGGGGCGGACGACGCCACGCTTGCCGTGCGCGCCTGAGCGGTGCCACCCTTCACCGCCCTCTTCTTCTCTTTCCTTCTCTTGGGGACGACGGGCGGCGCCTGTGATTGGGGGGCGGGTGCCGCTGGTTGACGAGGCGCCCCTTGCTGGGCAGGCGCCTCTTGCTGGGAAGATGCCGCCGCAGCCGCCACCATAGTCGCCAGCTTACTTTTCATAAGCTTAGCGATGCTCGAGTAGTCCGCCCCTACACATGACAAAAATGAGTTAAGTACATAACGCAAAAACTAAAAGGCGTAAGGACGGAATAAGGACGCGGAACACCTAGACGCCTACACACCATCGTTGTAATATGCCTGAATAATAGGCGGGCGATTCTCGGCGGGGCGTAAGTCAACAGGCTCCCCCTCGCAAATTAATGGGGCGCCTGCCTTCTCCGATGCTGTCAACACCACCTCCTTGTTAAAATCATCAACCTGGCCCAACGCCCATCTTCTAATGAAGGCGCCCCCACTCGCAAAGAAGGAGTCCTGATAAGCCTTCACGAAGAAAAAACCGTTGAACCAGCTTCGGTTCAACTTGGGGCATTTCTTCACGAAGTGATAGGGGCGCTTCTTGCGTTTCTGGAGAGAGAGGCAGTTGTCGAGAGGCACCATTTTGAAGAAGTATCTAAATAAATTGAAGGTAGGCTCCACGTTGTGCTCCCGGCACCTCAATTTGAACAAAATGACGACCGTTATGACAGAGGGAGAGAGGCGCCCGAGAGGGCAGGCGCAAGTTGTCAGGATCCCCTCCATGATCGAGTCAAGGGGAAACTGCAGCCCGAAGCGAAAATATTCCTGGTAAATTCCGATCCATTTCGGGCCACAGACGCCCACCCGAGACAGAGGGGAGGGGGGCGCATACCACCAGTCTCGGGGAAGTTGGAGGCTGGTCACCAACTCGTGAACATGCTCCAAGGTGACTGTGGACGTGCGCTTCGGCCCGGCCACCTCGAAGGATAGGTGAGACGTCTCGGTAGGCAGATGGTCGGGAGGAAAACACTTCTCCCATGAAGTGATCTTGTAAGACCCGTCGGCCGGCAGAAACCCAGGCGCTGAGGAACTCGACGGCCCGGCAGACGACGATGGTCCACCAGATGTTGAAGGAAGCGCCCGCTCTAAACCAACAAATGACCCAGACGCAACGTCCACAAGGGGTAAGTGACGCCCCTACCCTAGGTGACTAGAGTAAAAACTCAATGAAATCGACGAAAGGAGAAGGACAACTTACCACGTTGAACTGGGCGCCTTGCCTCACCGCCGTCGCCGGAAGCGCCAGCGCCCGAGGCGCCGGGTGCAGAAGTCTTGTCTTGTTGTGGAGACGACATTTTTGGACGAGAAGTGAAGTGTTGGCCGAGAAAAACAGAGAGGAAAGTGGGCAGAGGTCAGAGCGGAAGATTCTAGAGAGAAGTCAGAGCAAGATTCTAGAGAGATGACAAATAGAAGAAAGTGACAGCATCACAAGGGGGGGGGGTATTTAAAGAGAAACGAAGGCTCACCCGCGCATGACACGTGTCAGTCATGCCGAAGGAAACCCTTCCACTCCCCCCACCTTTTGCGTCTTTTCGCGCGTCACCAAAACACGGGCGGACCTTTGAGCTTCCCCCACACTCTCCTTTTCGGGGAAATTTCTCACCTCCCAAATTTCGAATTTCGAATTTCGAATTTCGAATTTTTCTTTTATCCAAATTCCCCCCAAAAAGCACAGTGTGGGTGAGGGGGGGCGCAAGGGATGAGGACACTCACCAAAAAGGACACCAGGAAGCGCCCGAAAATGAAGGCCAATAAAAAAGGCGCCCCGATTTGGTGAAAGGCGCCTTGGCAAGCAAAAGGGAAGGAAACACCTGGAAGAGTAGTCGATAAGGGACACAGGCAAAGGCGGGACGCCTGATCGGCCAATAAAAAAGGCGCCCCGATTCGGTGAAAGGCGCCTTGGCAAGCAAAAGGGACAGAAACACCTGGAAGAGTGGTCGATAAGGGACACAGGCAAAGGCGGGACGCCTGATCGCGGAGGAAGAAAGGCAAACACACCTTGTAGGACCAAGAAACAAGTGAGAGCACGGTGGCAGGCGCCCTGCAACTAAGCAGAAGGCTGGACTATGACTAGAGGTTCAGTCAGGCGCTCGTTGGCGAAGCCACGAGCACCTAACTGGGGGGGCAATTGTTGGGGGTATTACCCAGCGAGCTAGGGGACAAAGCCCAAAAGAGTAAAATGCCAAGAGCCAGGTGGCGGCCAACCGGCTGGTGGTCCACGGCCTGGGGCGCCTGACAGGTGTCAGGAGTCTGACAGGGTGGTTAGCTGTCACACAGAGCACCAAAAGCCAGGTGGCGACCAACTGGATGGTGGGCCGCGGCCTGCAGGCGCCTGTCGTGTGTCAGGAGCCTGGCAGAACTGTGGAACGCCAGTCAGGTGTCAGGAGCCTGACAGGGCGGTTAGCTGTCTGGGGGCGCAGAGCATTGAATGTGGGAGGTGACGTGGCGGAGATCAACCTCGAGTTCGGTGAGTATAAATAGGGGCAGACGATAGCATTTACGCAGGTTGGCTTCTCTCACTAAAACGACTCCCAAACACTTATCTCTCTAGAAAAGAGAACTGACTTAAGCTTCGGAGTGCTAACGGGTCGGCCGAGGCCCTTAGGCGCTTGTGGGTGCAGGTTCCGGGCGCCCGGGTGTCGGAGAAGTAAAAAGGCAAAGGATAAGAGTTCGGGGGTATCTGGGCACAAACAACTTGAATGAATAAAAGAAAGGGCAGGGGGGAAAAACACAAGGAAAAGGACAGTAGACAGCAATTAGAGAATAGTCAAACGTTAATATCCACTTGGTATGTTTATTAACCCAGACGAAGCAGTTATGTACAGGAAGGAATGAGTTTGATTTTGACTAATCAAAGAAAGGAGAAAACGATGATTATTTATCACAGTTGGTAGCAATTAGCCACAGAAACACATGGCAATGGCGCCAGCCCTTTTGTCAGCTTCCTTCCCCTCCATTTCAGCAGCTTAACTCCCACGCCTAAGCAGCAAGCAACCAAAGCCTGGCTTGACTTCCACTCTGGCTGACAGCGTATCCCTCCTCAAAATGATTCTTTCCTTCTTTGATCTCTTATAATAATCTCACCCAAAGATATTTCCCCCTTTCTTCTTCTGGATTGCTAAATATCGCCCTTAAAATTGCTAAATGTCGCCCTAACTTAGATGTCAAATTACCTGTATACCCTTAATGAAAAAATCAAAATTGAAAGAAACAAACAAGCCCTAAACCTATTCTCTTGCGTTCCCTTCCCTCTGCACCTCGCTCCATCGCGCCGAACTCCCGCGATCCCACCCGCGCAGCAGCCTTCGCCGGAGAAGAAGGCTTCGTCGGAGAAGAAGAAGGTAAAAAAAAAAAAAAAAAACCGTGCCGACCGCGGTCAACGCGCGGTTGAACCAACGGCTGACCGCGGTCAACCTGCGGTTGGACCATGGCTGGACCGCAAATCACCTGCGGTTGGACCATGGCTGGACCGCAAATGACCTGCGGTTGGACCATGGCTGGACCGCAGGTCATTTGCGGTCCAGCCATGGTCCAACCGCAGGTCATTTGCGGTCCAGCCATGGTCCAACCGCAGGTGATTTGCGGTCCATCCATGGTCCAACCGCAGTTCATTTGCGGTCCAGCCATGGTCCAACCGCAGGTGATTTGCGGTTCCTTTTTTTTTTTCGTTTTTCAGTTAATGTATTTACCTCGTCGGAGTCGCTACTCCGACGATATCGGCTTCAAAATGACGATGATGGATTTTTCTCTCCTTAGATAGTGTTTTTTTAGTTCAAGTGGTGTTTGTTTGATAAAGGGAAGGTAAAGAAGCTAAGGGGGTAAAAGTGTAACTTTGATTTTCTTTTTAGAGCGACCTTTAGCAATTTTAAGGGCGACCTTTAGCAACTCCCTTCTTCTTTCCCCCTTAGCCGTCTGATTCAGCCATCTAGTTGAATTTCTTTCATACTCCCTCCAGCTCTGTCTTTTTTGAATGTTCTTCCAAAAAGTCAGGCCCAATTTTTATGCAATTAATTGTCGATCTCCTTTTCATTCATCTGGGTTACGTTGTTTCTTTCTTAGGGTTCCCTAAACTTTGCTCTGTTTCGCCCTTTTCGTCTAGTTCTTCTGCAGAACACGCTTCCCATCCCATCCAGTTACAAGGGTGGCGTCTTCCCCTGTTCTCTGGCTTTCTGTTGAATCAGTTTTTCCCTCGTTACAAAAACCCAGAAACGGATTCGTCTCCCTTTGTCTCTAATCTTCTCGTTGATGGTAGTCGAGAGCTATGGCGGCTGAGTCGAGCTTCGCCAGAAACATACTCGAGTGTTGTTTGACCATCCTCTATGTCGTCTTCGCCTTCTGCTCTGCTCTCTTACTCGGCGCTGTCAAAGGTTAGTCAGAAAAGGAAACTCCCTTTCCCCTGTATGAAGCTCCGGTAGCCAATTTGACAGTTTGGCAATTTTGTTCTGTTTCCTTGCAGCTGTGCTAGTCGGGCCAATTGCAGCTTCGATACTGATATTTGGGAACATCGGGGTCATTCTTGGCACGTTCCCTTTACACGTTTTCTGGACAGTTTACAGCCTTGCCAAGTAAGTTAACTAGCAGTTCTAATGGGATGATCACTTGAATCTACTCATAGGCGTATTTGATGGACTGTATGTGTGTGTTGTGTTGACTCAGTTGCAATAGATTGGACGTGCTGCTGAAAGCTGCGCTGTTTCTTGTACTCCCGGCTCTGCTGGCCATATGGTTGGGTCTGAGCATTGCTGGGAGCGTTCTGATTGGGTTGGGATATGGGTTTTTCACCCCATGGATTTCAACCTTCGAGGCCTTCAGGCATGGCGATGGATCCAAGAAACTTCGTCACGTTTTCGAGGTAAAGTTCGATTCCTTTGGGTGGAAAAGAACCCAATTTTTGAATGTTTCTGGTAACTCATGGGAATTTCATCATTGTCTGGAAATGGAAAACATGTAAACAGGATGGGACATGGGGAACTGTCCTGGGAAGCTGCACGGTGGTCAGGGATTTTGCTGATATGTGTTACCACTCTTACTTGCTCTACATGAAGGAGCTCCGTGATTCTTCATCCTCCCATGAAGTTCGAACTCTTAGGTACATTAACATACACATTCGTTCGTCGTAATCTCATATACAAAATACATGAACGTGCGTCAGATACATGTACTCGAGATTAGCCAACACAATCGTTTTAGTTCTGCTGCAGAACTCATTGCTTTTCCTTTGCTGTTCTTTGAAAGAGAGATGCAAAATCATCTTTGTCCATTGATTTGTAGGCTGATTCATCTGCCTGGATTCATCGTAGCCGGATTGCTGGGGCTACTAGTGGACATCCCACTTTTCACCATGATAGCCATCGTCAAGAGCCCTTACATGCTGTTCAAAGGCTGGTTCAGGCTGATCCATGATCTCGTCAGCAGAGAAGGCCCCTTTCTCGAGACTGCCTGCATCCCAGTTGCTGGCTTGACCATCTTTCTATGGCCTCTCGCAGTTGCAGGCAGCATCTTGATGGCAGTCTTCTCCAGCATCTTCATTGGACTTTATGCCTCCGTCGTGGTGTACCAGGAGAAATCGTTCTTGAAAGGTGTGTCGTATGTGATAGCCATGGTTGCCGAGTTCGATGAGTATACCAATGATTGGCTTTACCTCAGAGAAGGAACCTTCCTCCCCAAGTAATTAACTTAACTATCCTCTTCTAGTTGGTTTCAGTATTTCTGTTAAGTGTCTGCAAAAAGAATATGTAGCAATGAGGTTATTGACTATTGGAATCCGACAGCCAGGCCCCGATATAGGAAGAAAAAGGCACATTCTTCGTCTGAGCTTTCAGTTGGAGGGAGTACACGCTCCAGATTCGCTTCTTCTGCTTTCACAGAGGCGCCTGCTATGCTTGTTCCTAGCTTGGCTCCTTCCAGATCAGTCAGGGAGACCATTCAAGAGGTCAAGATGATTCAGGTAATTTCAAACTCTGTTCGATTTATTGTGATCAACTGGTTTATGACGCCTAAATAAATGAATGTTGGTGCGGTGGTGGCAGGTATGGGAGCACATGATGAAGACATGCGAGACGAGAGGGAAAGAGCTGCTCGACAGCGAAGCCATTAAGCTGTGCGACCTCACAGACTGGCTCAAGGCGAAGAGCGCCAGCAGCGGAGCAGTCATCGGCGTCGGGCTGCCCTGCTACTCCATGCTGCTGATGATGATGAATTCCATCCGGGCCGGATCAGATGGATTCATCCTCCACGACGGCGTGGAGATGACCCATCTCAACCGCCCCAACGACGCCCTCCTCGACTGGTTCTTCCACCCTCTTCTGGTCCTGAAAGACCAGATCAAGGCCATCAAGCTCGAAGACGGCGAGGCCAGGTTCTTGCAGAAACTGGTCCTTTTCGGGGACGACTCCGTGAGGATGGATGGCTGGGAGAATGGGAGCGTGGTCCCCCTTGAAGCCATGCGAGCTGCTCAGATTCAGGGCATCAGCAGAAGGTAAACCCCCTATAACATTCTACGAATTCTCACAATCTGAAGATACCGTGTTTGCCAAGCAACACCCCCTGATTGTTATTCTTCACTGTTTTTTTTCAGGATGATGGGAATGGCGAGAACTGTGTCCAAGTATCCGACGTACAGGAGGAGGTATCGACAAGTGGTGAAGACATTGATTGCGTATTCGGCTGAGAAAGATGGGGTGAGGTTGGGGGGATCCAGTTCCATGAGGTTGGTTGCATATTCTGCAGAAAGGGAAGAGTTGGGGAAATCCAGTTCTGTGAGATCAGTTGCTTGCATCGAAGAAGTCTGAAATGCCAAAAGTAAAAGGAAAGGGGGTGTGGAGTGATTTTGTTTCCTTCAATTTTCATACATTGTTTGTTGGTAGTGTGAAGGTTAGCAGCATGTGAGATTGTAGCCAACATTTTGTAAATTTAAAGAACGATACATTTGCATAGTGGAAGAGTGGTTGGAAAATGAGTTGGTTTGCATTGACTAATATCAACTTCCAATTAGATGTCCCTATTTCTTCTCCTTTGGCTACTACTAAGCAAAATTTTAATTATGTTGGGAAATAATTTACGAATTCATCGATGATTATCTTATTTTAAGACTGGATTAATATAGCTCGAAAACGAGAGGGTGATTACTTTACCTACATTTTATGTAGTTATAACTCGTAAAATCAATTTCAAATTGAGAAGCAAATGAACTAGTGGATACAACTTATTAGATTACTCGCTCATTGAGGACCAAATAAAACATTATAATATAAAATATTAATCAAGCTGTAAAAGAATTTAATAGTCAAACATTTAGCTTTCCATCTGGTCACTGTGACGTGACTATTAATGATGACGTGATAAAAGATCAATCGTTTGACTGTGCCTCATAGATATATGATAAACGAGTATGATAGTCAAACTCTCAATTTTAAACAAAACAACATAAAAAAACTTTGAACAAATAATATGCAGTCAAATAATAATTTTTTGTCCACTCAAACGTCAATTGACTCTAATGTGACGACCAATTCTTGCTGGTGTGGCAAAATTCAAAAGTCTGACTGATCACATGGATATATAATTAAAACAATATAATAACCAAATCTATGAAAAATATTACAAGAGTTAATCCAATTGTAGTACGTAGTTCAAATTTACTTGGCCCAAAGATCATGATCATATTTCCTAGTGTCTCTCACAAGTCACAACCACCTACTCAAGTGATTAACGAGTTATATATTTGGAGAGCTTATGTAGGAGGTTGAGATGCGTTCGAATTTGCAAACGGAAAGTAAAGAAAGAAAGGTGTGGGAAAGGAAATCTATAGCTAAAGGAAGAGAGAAGAAGAAAGTTGCTTCCATTTTTCACTGACTCCGAATCCCACTAGGCACGTGACGAACCCTAAGAGCGTATTGCTCATCTCTTCCTCCAATCGATCACTCTGGCGTCGCCACTCCCCTCTGTCCACGTTCCCCTAGATTGATCTTCCTCCAATCCTTCGTTGTCGAGGCTCGATTCTCGACCCCGACAGAGAGAATGGTGGATGGAAATCGGAGAGGCCGGATGACGGATGTAATTCGCAATTACGGATAACCGATTAACTAATCCGATCTACTCAGTTTCGATGTCGGCTAACCGAGATTTCTTGTCGGTGTCGTTTGTGGTTGACAGTGGTGGCCCCAAACCATTAACGATTACTCGACAATTTAGTTTGGTTGAACCGAAACCGCACGGATTACTTACCCTACTTGTAGCCTTCCTCTCTCGTGTCTGATTTATCTGCTGGGGCTGGTCGGCCCGGCGAATCTAGTTCTAGTGCTGGGAACCCGGTTTCCTTGGAAAACAAAAGATCAATCTTCAATCTCTTAAACCCTAAATACCAAAACCCCCATATCTAGGAAAGGTGCGAACTTCATCACTCCTTCCCCAAAGAAACTCTCCCCACCGTCGTGTAATGGCGGGTCCTCTGCTTCGCTCCATTTGGTCATCCGCCAGAAGGTCTATCTCTTCTTCTTCCTCCTCCTCTTCTGGCCGGCGACCCTTCTTCAATCCCTACTTATCCTCCCGAGTTGCTCCTTTGCTTTCTCGCCCTCCCGGTGCCACTCGAGCTTTCGCTGCCGCCCCTGCCTCGGCGGCCTCCGCCACATCATCGTCGCCCAATTCGGCATTGGATCCCAGCAGATTGAGGAACGTGGCAGTGATAGCTCATGTCGACCATGGGAAGACTACCCTTATGGACCGTCTGCTCAGGCAATGCGGCGCCGATATACCCCATGAGCGTGCCATGGATTCCATCAGCCTCGAGCGCGAACGGGGCATCACTATCTCTTCAAAGGTTCGCAGCAATTCCTATCCAACCTGCTTTTTCCTTTTCTCGAAGTGAATAAGGGGTGGATCTTTTGCTCTTTAGTATAAGTTGTTGCGAGTGGTTTGCTGGTAATTCAGACAACTGAACTTGCTCATTACCCTGGAAAGCGTTTCCTAATTAAAGTAATTTGAGGTTGGAATTTTAGCTGCGGGCTAATATGAGACAGTAAGTTGAATTGCCCGCACGTTTAGTCTTTGTTACACTAATATGCTCCCTTCTTCTTCTGATCAGTCTGCCTTCTTTTACTTATTTAACACAGTTTCTTAAGTAAGTTTTTTTTTTATATATAAGTAGAAAGGAAATGCATCTCAGCAAAAGCCCTTATGAAGCGTGTGTTATTTACTTCATCATTTAGTTGTTGAAAGATCAAGGGGGTGCCATTTGGATAGTAGTGATATCTTTGACCTTGACAGCATATTCCTTGTCTGCAGTGTTTGCGTTACTCTATCTTTGTAGTTATTCTGATCAAATTGATGTTACTATTCAGGTTACATCTATTGCATGGAAGGAAAATGAACTAAACATGGTTGATACGCCTGGACATGCAGACTTTGGGGGTGAAGTATGTTTCTTGCATTTATTTGTCGAAGTGTCTGAAGCTTGTTTCTTACTTTCTTCCAGTTCATTTTACTAATAAGGTAGTGGTGATGAACAAAAAATGTGGTCAAGTATCCATGCCATACGTTTGGCGGATGATTGGTTCGTTATTGTTAGGAAAAATCTTTACTTCTACTGTTAACTAAATCATAATTGTTATGATCCTTGTACAAAATATGCTATTGAATGTAGGTCGAACGGGTTGTTGGAATGGTTGAAGGAGCAATTTTAGTAGTAGATGCTGGTGAAGGTCCACTTGCACAAACAAAATTTGTTCTTGCCAAAGCATTGAAGTACGGGATAAGACCTATCTTACTTCTGAATAAGGTAGACAGACCTGCAGGTACGATTGAACTCTTAATACTGCTTGCTTTGTAATAGATCACAGTCATTGCTGTTTTTTGAGATTCAGCATTTTGGTTTTCTGTGATGCTATTATGTATGATCACATTCTTGGCCACCAAATATGCAGTTTCTGAAGAAAGGTGTAACGAGGTTGAGAGCTTGGTTTTTGATCTTTTTGCAAATCTTGGTGCCACAGGTGAGAAAATTTAAGCACTGACTCTGGTCTCCGCCCTTTAGTAATAAGTGAAAATAGGTTTTTCTTGCTAAGTGGATATGGCACTGATGTAACTTTATCCAACTGCTTCAGAGGAGCAACTAGATTTTCCTGTGCTCTATGCTTCTGCTAAAGAAGGATGGGCATCCTCCACCTACACAAAGGATCCTCCTACTGAAGCAAAAAATATGTCAGAGCTGCTCGATGCTGTCATTAGGCATGTTCCTCCACCCAATGCAAGCATTGATGCTCCATTCCAGATGCTGGTTAGTAAACAATGTCCATATTCCTTATAGCGAATTTCACTTGCATTCGTTTGTATTCCATGTCTGCTTCTGGATTGTTTCTACTTACTGCTCACATATGTAAGTTGTATCAAGGCAATACAAGCATGATGTTGGTTGATACAGCTTAACCTTTCTGCAACCTCAAACCCCTCCATTGCATTTTGGTAGATCTATATGAGCAAGGCCTGTAGCAAGAAGATAGTAATTATTTAGATTTTAGATGTTGGAAGTTCCACTTTCTGTCATGGTTAATTCCAGGACCATTAAATGACGCAGGAGTTGACTTTCAAGTTCAGCGTGGTTATAGAAACTACCTTTCTCTCTCTCTCTCTCTCTCTCTCTCTCTCTGGCCTCACTAGTTTTGTATCTAATTTTAGGTTTCCATGATGGAGAAAGATTTCTACCTTGGCCGAATCTTAACTGGACGCGTCTTTTCTGGGGTTGTCCGTGTTGGTGACAGAGTGCATGGACTGCGTTGTACAGATTCAGGGGCAGAGAAGATTGAAGAAGGAAAGGTCAAGTATCTTGTTCTGAATGCATACTTTACTCAATATGAACATAAATCATACACATCTATGGTGAAGCTTCGTCCAATTCCCATAATGTCTTGCATTTATTTCTGAAGCAAGGCTTCACTATTAACCATCTTTATATGATAAGAGTTTGAAGAACTGGATTATTTGTAAATGATGTATGTTCTCTGCAAATCCTCAACAATTCCAGCTTTCAACTTTTTTCTGTCAGTTTCTTGGTGGCTCAGAAGATAGATGTGAATGCAGATTCTATAGGAGGAGCGTTGCATTTCCTTTAGAATTTTGTAATGAGCTATTGTTCTGAGCACTTTGTTCGGAACTCTGTATCCAACTGTGTGTTTGATGTGCTATGTACTGTTTGTTTAGCTTAGCTTAGCTTCCATTGAATACTAAAGAGTCCCTCTATTTTAAGGTGGCAATCTTAACATGCTCTATACTTCTGCATACAGATTGTGCTCGAACTAAATTCCTTGATATTCTCTTCTCTATGTCAGATTATAAAGCTAATGAAGAAGAAAGGTACAAGTATGATTCTCATTGACGCTGCTGGAGCTGGTGATATTATATCAATGGCTGGAATGGCAAGTCCATCAATAGGCCATACAATAGCAAACGTGGAGGTATGAAATAAGTTTTTCATGGATGGTCTTTTTTGGATGGAAAGAACTATAAAATCTGGACTTATTCTTAAACTGTGTGGAAAAAAAAATATACTGTATTGTATTACCTAATTTGTCATAGGCCAAGCTCTTAATCATTTTTCATCCTTTGCTCTTTCAGTTAACCGTAAAGTTATAGTGCTCCGTGTGTAAGCTAGATCGCTTAGGTGGCAACACATAAGATATAGCTCTGTTGCCTAGTTTAGAATATTTTCTTTCTTCAATTTAAATGCCTATAATATAAGGATGTCTGATATTTCTTACTCTCGGGAACTTACTTGCTTGATGTCAAACTTGGTTACATGCTGATTCACAGTTGAAAATTTTCCGGTTGTATTCTAACTTGAAGTTTGACCATCCTGAAGGTAGCAACTGCATTACCCACAGTTGAACTGGATCCTCCTACAATTTCCATGACGTTTGGTGTAAATGACTCTCCGTTGGCCGGTCGAGACGGTACCCACGTGAGTCCAAGACCTTCCTTTTTTTGCATTTAATTGAAAATGACAGTTCTTTAATGGAAATGCATCATATTCAAACTACACTTCTATACTCTCGTTACTGGCCATTTTGCATGCCAGTTTCTCCCATCATGTTCATAACAAACTATTATTGTACATGTGTAGTTGACTGGTGGAAAAATTGGTGATCGTTTGATGGCCGAAGCTGAAACAAATCTTGCCATAAATGTGCTTCCTGCAGTAGGGGAGTCATATGAAGTGCAAGGGAGAGGAGAACTTCAACTAGGTAAGTGTGCAGCCGTTTCTTATCCTTTTTACATGGCCAACTAGACAGCTGAATTGTGCGATTGACTTCTCTGCAGGTATTTTGATTGAGAATATGAGGCGTGAAGGATTTGAGTTGTCAGTTTCTCCACCAAGAGTCATGTAAGGACTTATGGATTGACTTCTCATGTCTCCTTTCACATGCAATATGTGTTTCCCTTGACTCATTAAGATATAATGTGTTTTTGTACATTAAGATATAATGTGTTCATCGTAGAGATGACATGGTAAATATAAAACCTTGTTGAAAATATTTGAGTATATAGAGCATTTTATTCTTGAAACCACATTCTCCTTTTGTCTTCCTCTACAACTCTGCTTTTCCAGTCTATTATCAGCTATATAACACTTCCTTGTGTCTGGGAATCATTTTAACCTCCTGGATAGGTATAAAACTGAAAGTGGCCAGAAGCTTGAGCCCATTGAAGAAGTCACGATTGAGGTAAGAACAGAAAACTTGTATAATAACAGCAATACACTTTCTTGTGTTCATGGGGTCTGTGAAAATAATTGTTGCATTCCATGTTGAAATTTGCTTTTAGGTAAACGATGAACATGTGGGATTGGTCATGGAAGCTCTATCGCATAGGAGAGCTGAGGTTGTTGATATGGGTCCTGTACCTGGAAATTTTGGAAGGACCAGGCTGTCCTTAACATGTCCATCTAGGTAGGATATAGTTTCTCAATTCACTGCCATTATTGTTTTCTGTGCTCCCCTCTCTTATTTATTGTTTAATATAATCAAACAGGGTTCAACTCTCAATTTTCCAGATAGGTCTTCATTATAAACTTGATTAAATCACGAGACCTGCTTACAGGAGAAATCTAGTTAAGGAAGCCTATATAGTTTTTTGTTTCATTAGATTTATCTTCATGCATGACACAGAACAGATATGAATTCTCTTCTCCATCATTAAGACCCTGTTTCTAATTTCCTCACTTTTGGCTCGTTAAAGATTTTAAGGGCCACTCTGAGTAGAATTGGTTGTCTAAAGCTGAGCACTTAGCACAGCTTTCTAAATCATTGGAACTACTTCATTGTAACAATGACTCATGTATCCTATCTTGTTCTGTTGTCAGGGGCCTGGTTGGTTACAGGAGTGTGTTCAGTAGTGACACGCGTGGAACTGGATTCATGCATCGTGCCTTCCTGAGTATGATTCCCTTTTTGAGATGCTTGCTCTTTCCCTTGCTCCGTGAATTTACAGACTCTTCACTTATTAATGTTGTGCACTATGGCCATTCATAATTACATGTCAAGTCAAGTCAGCTTTGTGGCCATGACGCCGTGTTTAATAGCTCTGGAGTTTTCCCTGAGTTAGACCTAGGAGCCTCTATATTTTCCCCTGCCATGACAGGATGCAAATGAATATATGCTGGATTCACAGTTGAGTTATTAACCAGACGTTTGGCTGGATGGCTTAGGATATCATATTGAACGGTTCTCTTTTGTGCATCCATGTACAGGAGGTTCAGGTGTTAAATAGGTTGAATTGTTCTCCTTTTGGATACGGGGTGCAGAATGACTTGATTGCTGAGTTATTTTCTTATGTTACCAATCATTTCTATCCTTCTTTCTATTTCTGTCAGTTACCCAACTGCTAAAATGTTAGATGCCAAGTGTCCTGAATTATTAACTATATGTGAATCCAACTTATCAGTATGTGTATGCTCATATGTTGACCCAGCTTATTTGATTCTTTGCAGCATATGCAAAATTCCGGGGTCCATTAGGAAATGTCCGGAAGGGTGTTTTGGTAAGTTCCCCTTGCCTCCATATCGAGACACAGAAGCCTGAAGGGATAAAATCTTTAAGCAGAACGATTATAAAAGCTGAATAGAGTGGTTCTATTCTGGGCTCCAGGGTCATATGATGTGAAAACCTTGTGTACAACATATTTAGATGTTACATAGTGTCACATGGTTATTGATGCAATCTCTGACTCATTTTGATTCACTTGGATTTTGTTGAATAGGTATCTATGGGATTTGGTACGATCACAGCTCATGCATTGGTCGGTTTGGAACCTCGTGGGATACTCTTCATTGGCCCAGGAGTTGACGTATGTGCTCTATTTAATCTGCAAACCTAATAATTTCAACTAAAATGCATTTCCGCTTTACTATGACCATTTGGGTCTTCTCCACCCATTCAAAACCAGAGTGAGCTGAAGAAGAACTACAAGTGCTAGCGCTGCTTGATTTACAAGTTCAAATGCTTACCCTCTTTTATTGTTCTTTGTCCTGTCTCTTGGCAGACGTATGATGGCATGATTGTGGGCGAACATACACGGGATACCGATCTAGATGTAAGAATCGTTAATAGTTATGTTTAATTTTACTTACACCTTAAGCTAACTTTCATGGAAATCCCTCTTATTTCTAGGTCAACCCAGTAAGGGCCAAGGAACTGAGCAATATGCGATCTGCTAACAAGGATGAAAACGTTAGGCTATCTCCGCCCCGCCTGGTATGTCACTGGTTAAACTGTAAAGCAGAAAATTGTCACAATCCTTAGCACTGAACGGTTTTGTGTAGTAGTGGCATATTAGTTTCATTACCTATGACTATGAGCCATCTCTGGCATGCAGCTGTTACCGTCAACGTTTTTTCCCCAAGTTAATATCAAGTTAGCATTTCACTAAGATATTATATATGATTACTGATAACATAGCTGGAACCGAACTATATGCAGATGACCCTTGAAGAAGCCATAGGTTACGTCGCTTCTGATGAGCTTATTGAGGTTAGATTCTTGTTACTCATTTTTTTGCAGATTCATCATTGTAATGGTACTATTAGCATTTTTTATGATAAACAATCTGCCATGTTTTCTCCGCTGCAGGTTACTCCTAAGGCCATTAGGTTGAGGAAAAGATACCTGGATGTTAACAAACGAAAAACCATGAGTAAGAGGCCCAAGGAATGAAAAGAACTGTATTGAATCAAAGGAATTTGTATCTTGATCACACTGTTGCTGAGAGTATACATACGACAGCAGAGCAGGTAGCCAGTAATTCTTTGTATCTCGATAGAATAATCCATCCGACGATAGCAACAGTTTTGATCATATAAGAAGGTTATTTATGTTCACTGAGAAATTGACACAGTTTACGACGACAAGGGCATAGCTAGCTATCGCCATGGACGATTGATTCCATCTCATATAGTGCAATACTTGTTTGTACAAGAAGCATCTTAATTATATTGCAACTCTCTCTTATGGCTTTTAGCTGAAGATGTTATCACTCATTGTTTATTTACCATTCAAGATATATTAGATTTACAGGAACAAAGAGCTTGCCTCATTTTACAGATATCAAAATGGTGGCGGTTACGTACATGACCATTGACCACACCGAGCAAGAGCCATCAGGCTGGCTGGGTTTACTCAAAAGACTAGTTTCCGACTTGAACCATGGCTACTAACACTATGTAGTTACATTTTCTTACAGATGCTAAACTTGTTCATACATATATCGTATATACAGAGTACCGACCCACTTCAACGTCAGCGAAAGATCTGAACTTTGAGAACCATGATTGAGCTCTCAGGATCAGGGCCACCGCGCCGCTCGCCGCCAATATCAAACACACAGACATCATACGGTTGCAAATTGTTGTCTCTAGCAAATTTCTTCCATCCGTTGGTCAGCCCTCCGGCATTCTTGTTCACTCTGAGCTTGAATTTCACCGGCCATTCTTTTTCTCCCAGCGTCAGAATCATATCCTGCCTCTCCCTCTCGTCCATGTGTTTCTTCATCCACGAGTATGGGATTGCCTGCAAAAGTGCTTCCATGAAATGTCGATTCATAAGAAAAGGAGAAAAAAAAAAAACAGAGTGAAACCGGGGACAATCAATTTGATACCAGGTAGAAGGTCCGCTCAACGTGGGTGGTTTTCATCACTGTGAGAAACCCATCTTTGCTCACAGCTAGCTTCGCTAATCTGAGAGCCCCTAGTTTCGATTCCGTCGGCGGCGGGGTCGGAGTGGACGCCCCTCTGTGGCTGTTGAGACTGACAACCTTCTTTGTTAGTACTTTCTTGGCCTGTTTGTTCGACAACTTGGTAATGAACGGTGGGCAAGAGGGCAGCAGCGGCGGCGGTGGAGGCGGTGGCGGATGTGGAGGCAGAGTATCAACGTCAATCTCAATCGGCGGAAGAGACCCCCCTGTACCATCATCAACGCCAGCAACGTTACCATCGTGCTGCTCCGGTGACGGGATGAATTCTTCAGAGCCGGCGCCGGAAGGCGTCGCCGCAGCTGCACTTCCCCAAGCTTTCTTCTCCTCCATCGGAGGCCCCTGTTTCATCGACAGGAAATAGGATCGCGTCTTCTCGCACGAGCTCTCCGATTCCAGCACCAGCACGTCGAACTGAGAGTGCCCATTGAACCTGAAGATCAAGAGATCGCCCGCTTGTAAACCGTGGTCCTGAGCGAACTCCTTCCACCCCCCATTGAAGAACAGAGTCCCGTCGTCGCTCATCGCCACGCCCACCGTCCAGTCGATACCGCTCGGACCCCTGAGCGCCACAGTTCCCGGCAGTCTGGAGCTCATGTGGGTTGAAAATTTCGTCGGGATTGCCTGTCAATTTACGTTATAACGATCAATTATTACTCTCACACACAGCGGGAAAATTAACAGAGGAGAAGACAGAAAGAAGGAATCTTTTGAGCTTACGAGGCTGTGGTGGAAGTCGGAATGGAGGAAGCGGCAGAAATGGGTGAACTGGAAATGGGTCCAGTACATGTATTCTTCCCAGCTCCTGCCATTGCATGTGCGAGCTCCCTCTTCACCTTCCATTGCTGCGGAAAACGTAAGAACAGAGCAGGCCGAGTTGAAGAGAGGCAGAGTGAGTGTCTACCCTGTTTTCTCCGGTGATGTAGAAAGGACACATTCATCGACGAAGTGGCACGTGTAGATTGAGATTTGGCGTTGGATTCCCATGCAACCTAACATCTGTTGAACACCGGATTACATCTGTTGCCATGGGGTACGGATTTCACTGCCACTCATCACCCTTTCTTTGCTAATCCTTGTTAGTGTTTGCTAAGTTGTGTTTGGTTAATGTGGGAGCTCCGGAACGATGAAGCGTGGCACCTCTCTGTAGGCGGCGATTCAACCTGTCTCCTCCATGATACCCAGTTTCTCGTAATATTGACAACGAACCAAATCCTATATTGTGAACAATCAAGTAGTTTCATTACATTTTGCTGCTAACTACGTCTTTCAAGAACGAACCTTCGAGATGAATTGCTATTTCATTTGTAAATTTGTGAACTCTGGTAACATTATTCCTCGTAAAATCCCTACTACAAATTTGTGAACTCTGGTAACATTATTCCTCATCAAATCCCTACTACAAATGACCGAGTAGCTTTGTTCCAACAACTCGGATATTGAGATCAATTGATTCTTGACATAAGCTTAGTTTGGCCCTGCTGTAGCTTTTGCATAAGCTGCTTCTGGCTGAAGCTTTTAGATAAGTACTTTTCAAAAAAAGCAGTTGGGTGTTTGGCTGTAAATTTATTAGAAGTAATTTTTAATATGAGAGATTGTGTAAAATGATTATAAAGGACTTATAATATAAAATATGAATAAAATTTCTAAACAATAAAAAGTAGTCAAAATGAATATTGTTAGATTTCTTTTATATTAAATAATATAATTTTATAATTTATTTTATTTCTAAAATGATATAAATGAAGGAAAATTATATTTTCTGAAATAAAATTAAAACATGGTAAGTATAATCTTGTATTTTCAAAACAGTTTTTCGCAGAAGCTCCAAATCGGAGCTTCTGCTTTTATGTTATACAAAAGCGCTCTTCGGCTTTTCAAAAGCCGAGCTTTTACAAGTCTTTGGTCATGCTTCAGCTTTTGAAGTCGAAAAAGCACTTCTAAAAGCAGGGCCAAACATAGGGACAGTATCAGAGCCTTCTGTGTCCGAGAGGTCTTCTGTTCGAATCCCGATGACCTCCATTTGTGAAGCAAATGGTATTCTTGTGTTCAGACCCGTGCAAACTTCAAGACCTTGTGAGTTGACTTTCGTTTGAAGGGGATGTTAATATGTGGTATAAGATCCATTATAGAACCTCTTCCAACAACTCGAAACCCGTGAGTTGACTTTCGTTTGAGGAGGCGATTCAAATACCTACTCTTCAAGTCGTGTACTCTTTTAAACTCGTGATCTTCGTGCCGAAGGAGTGTTGAAAGACCATACTCAAACTATCAATCGTCCCTCCAACCACCATCGCACCTTCATGTCTTCATGGCCTAGCATTCATTTCCTCAACCAACTACGTGTAAATGTAATTACTTCCCCTTTACTGTTACGCACGTGTCTACATAGGGAGTTGGCTTACGTGTATCAAACCAAGAGAGGAACATATTTCATTAATAAGAAATCATTCCATATATAATTATTGATACCAAATTATCAATAATTCACCGTACACCAAGTTTTTAATAGGAGGTAAGTCGGTCCGTGCTTCGCAGCGGATACTGAAAAAATATATCGAACAATTAGCATGAAAAGAATCTTGGCTAAAATAGAGATGAACGCTTTTAGTTCATTAACTAGCTTTCAAAGTTATAGAAAAAAAAAATTGGATTGAAGATTTATGCATAAAAATACAGCAAAATAAATGAAATGTTAGAGTAGCTCGACATTTAAATAGCTCTTAGACAACAAACAACACTCAGAATGATGACATAATTTTATCAGAAGGATACAAACTGAATACCTAATCTTAAGTATTTGTAATAGTTCCATATGGAAACACTGCAGATTTTGTTTAATGTAAGCTAACCACCAAAACCCTCCTAAATAATAAAAAAAATGATGATGCAGATCACACATTAATGGCAAGGAACTAAATAACTCACCAGTCTGGAAGACTAACCAAGGAAACCGATTATGATATCACACATTAATTAATAGCAAGGAACTAAATAATTCCTTGAGAATAGGAATGGCAATAGGGCAGGTTCGGAGCGGGTATCTTGATATCCATACCCGTCTTGTGGCAGTTCGGGTAATTTATCATTGGACAGGTCAACTCAATGAGTATCTAATTTATGTGAAAAACATTAGAAATATTCGTTATTTTCATTAGAAGACCAAGAAAGAAACCATAATATGATGAAATGTAATTAAATTATTGGAGAAATTAAGATTTTCACTTATTTACAAGTTTATTATAGCTTAAATATGAGGTAATAAGAGGAAAAAATCCCAAAGTACACTAGTTTTTAAAAAAAATTCCCAAAATACATAAGTTATAAAAAAAATTCCAAAAGTACACATGTTTGAGCATCACCGTTTTAGACAAAAACGGTGAAGGTCATCACCGCTTTTGACCAAGACGGTGAATACTTCACCGTTTCAAACTAAAACGGTGAAGGGTTCACCGCGTTTGTTAAGAACGGTGAATACTTCACCGTTTTAAACAAAAACGGTGAAGTCTTCATTTGAATTCTAAGTATTTTGATAACTCTAAATGGTTCTCCTCGTCGATACGATCGCGCTGCCGAAAACGGCTCGTTATTTCGACCTCAAACGAATAAGATACGCGCGTTTTAGTTTTTAGTACGCAAAAGTTACTTTAACGACATGTGCAACTTTGAACTCACTTATCTCACTCGTTTGGACTCGGAATTGAGATCTGTAAAATTCTATGTGATCGTGGTTGATTTTCCCAACTTTTTTGTGTTGAGGGAAGATAATGATTCTTGATTAAATGATCCAGAATATTCATTCGACAACTTAAGTGCGTAGGATAGTTTTTAGACCATGCAAACTCAAATAACAACACCTAAAAATCACAAAAACAACATTGATAGTTCACTACAATGATAAAACGATAAATTCACTCATTTGCTTCATTTTGGCCCCCATCTCCACCTCTTCCTCCTCGTCCTCCACGAGTTTGTTGTTGCGGATGTTGGAATTGAGAGAACCATATGTAACAACATCATGGGTTCTCTTAATTCCAACTTCCGCAACAACAAACTCCGAACCCCCCGATCATTCGTCAAGCTACCGGTCCAACTCAGCCACCACCACCACCATATGTAACCCCAGTTGGGGCTCGGGTCAAGAGAAATCCGCGACCAGCCGTTGAGCGAGCCCGCCAAGAAGCAGTGGCGGAGGGGGGAAGAAGGGGTCGAGGACGTCGTGGAGGACGAGGAGGAAGAGGTGGAGATAGGGGCCAAAATGAAGCAAATGAGTGAATTTATCATTTTATTATTGTAGTGAACTATCAATGTTGTTTTTGTGATTTTTAGGTGTTGTTATTTGAGTTTGCATGGTCTAAAAACTATCCTACGCACTTAAGTTGTCGAATGAATATTCTGGATCATTTAATCAAGAATCATTATCTTCCCTCAACACAAAAAAGTTGGGAAAATCAACCACGATCACATAGAATTTTACAGATCTCAATTCCGAGTCCAAACGAGTGAGATAAGTGAGTTCAAAGTTGCACATGTCGTTAAAGTAACTTTTGCGTACTAAAAACTAAAACGCGCGTATCTTATTCGTTTGAGGTCGAAATAACGAGCCGTTTTCGGCAGCGCGATCGTATCGACGAGGAGAACCATTTAGAGTTATCAAAATACTTGGAATTCAAATGAAGGCTTCACCGTTTTTGTTTAAAACGGTGAAGTATTCACCGTTCTTAACAAACGCGGTGAACCCTTCACCGTTTTAGTTTGAAACGGTGAAGTATTCACCGTCTTGGTCAAAAGCGGTGATGACCTTCACCGTTTTTGTCTAAAACGGTGATGCTCAAACATGTGTACTTTTGGAATTTTTTTTATAACTTATGTATTTTGGGAAATTTTTTTAAAAACTAGTGTACTTTGGGATTTTTTCCGGTAATAAGAGGAAAAACCTAAATAATTTGACTAAAATTACATGTAATTTAGACAAGAACGGATCAAGAATGGGGCGGGTCGGGGTAGGTCAGGTCGATGAGAGGTATCCATACCCGCCCCGCCTACGGGACGGGTCGATTCCACTCAAAATAGGTCTAACAGGTCGGATAAAATGGATGAGGTCGAAATTGTCATCCCTACTTGAGAAAGTCAGCTAGCTAAAATCTAATAAACCAGCCAGTGGCTAAGAAAGCCTAACAAATTGGAGAAATAATTGAGGTTCTAAGACAGCTCTCGCAGAACCACAAGTCTCCTTTGTTCACTACCTGAATTGATGTAAAACCTTTGGTTTCTTCCTAATTTGTTGCTTATTTAGAAACAGTGGAATGATATTTTTCCTCGAGGTATGCGGCTCGCGAGCAGTTGGACATTTGGGTCATAAAAATTCAATTAAAGTTTGGTTTGTTTAGTTTTGGAGTTAAGCTTTGTTCACTTCGCTCGACTCGGGTGGCTCGTTGAGCTCAACTCGTGAGCTAGCTTGACAGTATGACAAGCGAGCCACCTCGACTAACAACTTATGAATGAATCGATTAATAACTTATCATTGGTTTATTGATTAATCAATATTTTGTTAGATTATTCATCTCATCACGTATCATGTTTAAGAATTCGAGCACATAATAAAAATTCATTTATAATTTAAAAGAGAAATTATTTTATCGTAAATTACTCAAATACTAATTATTATGAAATAGCATGAAATGAACAATTTAAAATTATGAACTTAAGCAATGATGATATTTTAGCTCGACCCAATCTCACAAACTCGAGTAGAACTCGTGAGTTCATTAATGAGACGAATTCGAGTAGAAGTCCAATCTAAACTCCAAGTCAATGCTTTAATAAACAAACCACACTAGCAATTTTTATTTACAAAAGATCAAAATTCAACTCGACCCATTTGCATTACTATATTTCTCCTATTGCATCATATACTCGACCCATTTGCATTATTATATTTTTGTCCTATTGCATCATATACAGCAGTAGGATCTTCCGGAAACTGATAAATAAGCAAAATCCGGCCGACTAAAGCCGTACCCGCAACCAACCTTGCCGGCAAAAATGGAGTTCCTCCTCAATTGCTTACTCTGCCTCATCTTCACCGTCACCATCCTCCGGCTCCTGCTGTCAAGAAACCACAGCAACCAAACCCCGGCGGCCAAACTCCCTCCCGGTCCGACCCGACTGCCAATCATCGGCAACATCCACAATTTAGACGCCAATCCTCACAAATCACTGGCCGATCTTGCCAAGCTACACGGCCCCCTGATGAGCATCAAGCTCGGCAAAGTCACCACCATCGTCGCTTCTTCCCCAGCTGCAGCCAGGGAGATTCTCCAAAAGCACGACAAGCTCCTCTCCGACCGCTACGTCACCCTGGCCATGGAAGTCGTCGACCACCACAACTTCTCCCTGCCGTTGCTCCCCGCGGAAGCCAAGTGGAGGAACCTCAGGAAAGTGTGCAACTCGTGCATCTTCGCGACCCAGAAGCTGGATTCGTACCGGGAGCTCCGGAGGGAGAAGGTTCTCGAGCTCCTGGAAGCTGTTCGACGAAATGCCTCTGAGAGGCCTGGGGAGCCGATCGACGTCCGGCGAGCGGTGTTCAGGGCGACGCTGAATTCTCTGTCGTCGACCATCATTTCGCTGGATCTGGGCGATGTGGAGAGGTCGGAGACGGCTAGGGAGTTCAGGGAGCTTGTGAGGAGGATCATAGAACAGACTGGCAAGTTCAATTTGGGAGACTACTTCCCTGTTCTGGCGAGGATGGATTTGCAGGGGATACAGAGGCGGTTGAGGCCTAATTTGGAGAAAGTTTTGAACTTGTTCCAATGGGTCGTCGACGAGCGGCTGGAGAAGATGAAGTCGGAGAGCTATGTCCCATCAAACGACATGCTTGACACACTTCTGGCCATTGGAGAGGACGACGACGACGACCGCGAGGGAGCTACCATGGATCCATTTTGCATCAAGCACTTGTTGTGGGTAAGAAAAATCTCCACTCTAGCAATGAATGGTGACGGATAGATCACAGGTTTTTTCGTTGATTATTATTACATCGGATGTTGGTTTGACCTATCAGGATCTCTTCGTAGCGGGTACCGATACAACGGTGAGCACAGTAGAATGGGCCATGACAGAGCTCCTCCGCAACCCCGTCACGCTCGCTAAAGTCAAGGAAGAAATGGATCAAATCATCGGGAAAGACAATCACCTTCACGAATCGGACATCCATCGGTTACCGTACTTACAAGCGATAGTGAAAGAGACACTGAGACTGCACCCACCAGGTCCGCTACTACTTCCCCGGAAAGCAAGCGCCGACGTGGAAGTCTGTGGCTTCCTCGTTCCCGAAGGTGCACAAATTCTCGTCAACGTGTGGGCTATAGGCCGGGACTCGCTGACATGGGACGACCCGAGCTCGTTCGTGCCCGAAAGATTCCTGGGCTCGAAGGTTGACGTTAAGGGCAACAATTTCGAGCTGCTTCCATTTGGTGGAGGGAGAAGGATATGTCCCGGAGCTTCGTTGGCACTGAGGATGCTGCATACGGTGTTGGGCTCGATGGTTCACCGGTTCGAATGGGCACTTCCGGATGGAGTCCTGCCGGAGAAGGTAGACATGGAGGAAGAGTTCGGGTTGGCTCTACAAAAGGTCAAACCTTTGCTTGCTGTTCCGACTCCAAGAGGATAAGCACTGTATTTCAAAATTGTTGCTTTTATGATGTAGTATAGAGCAAAAACTAGGGCAGAAATAATACCACATCGACAGCAAGAGGATGTGGAAGTAGGCAAGACAGAGTATATAATCACTTGGCAGGCCAACGTTTGAAAGCATCTTTGCGCTTGGGGCAATGACGCAGCTAGTGAGGTAATAACCGAGGCGCGTCAATTGCTGGTTGAAAACTATTTCCAAACCCCCTCTTGGGCCGCGGCTTGCCTGTGGCCCTCGAGAATTTCTGGAAGGGCTCCCTTCGGGGTAAAGCCCTACAATCCTTAGTCCAATCCTTTTCTTTTATGGGCTTCTCCTTCTAAAACTATGTTATTGGGCTGTAATAATTATTGTAAGCCCAATTTTAACTTGAGCCTTTCTTTTTGTTAAAAGTTACAAGCCCAGTCAGTTTTATCATGCGCTGTTCTGCGAAGTTGTGTGCAGTGTGCTACAGTTTTATTTGGGGTTACTGTTTGTTGAAAGAAGAACTGCAGAAACAGCAGAATAGAATGTTTGAGCAGAAGAATTCCTGCGCTGATATGTCATTATGAGCAACTGCATATAAACATGAAACTGCATATAAGGAAAGACTTGCTGTCTGTTTTTACATCCATTGTTCTTCGAATCAAACATCAGAAGCATAACTTGTATCCATCGTCGAATCCGATAGTATTCCTTGAAACATGTTATACAAGTCAAACTCGAACTTGTCCCCTTTTTTTTCATGCAGAATTGCCGTGAGTACATATCGAATTGGCGAGGACTGGACAACTAATCATCGTATCAACATCAGAAGCAATAACGCTTAATTCATAGTAACGAAATCCCAGAGAACAAAAAGGGCCATATCACTGTAATCATAGAGCCAAACTGAGTTCATCCATATCGAAATACCACATCGGTGGTGGACTGAAGACCACCCAATCCTTTGCACAGCTTGGCTATATAAATGAACTCCACCGTTACAATTTTCTTCACGCAGCCTTGCAGTGAGCACATAGCGAACTATTCTTTCGCCTTTTACTAAAGAATACCGTGTGCGTGCTGCTTAACAGAGGCATACGTCTATTTTTGGAGGGTTTGTTCCTTAATTGGATCAGCCCCACAATACCTAGTTTAATTGGTTCTGAAGTTGTGTATTTGGAACCAGGATGCTGAATAACAATTACTAACTAATGATAAAAATGTCTCGATCTATTCCTAAACGTGAAGCATTGCAGAACTGCTAACCCTGCTTTCAATAGAAATGTCTTTTCCTCTAGAATTCCCTGTTGCAGAGCTGTGAAACAGCTTTGTGTTGATACGACAGAACTGAGTAAGTATCTGGTTGAGCAGAATTCCTTTATTGATATGAGAATCTCAGATGTAATTTTCTGCAGCTTAATCGACTGGGGAGAGTAAAATCTAACACATTACAGCGTATCCTAATGCCAGCAGCATTTGCATCCGGTACCTCCCGCAAAATTAAATACCACATCGATGCTGAACGTAAGACGCACTGCTTTCGCTGGCACAGTGATCTATATAAAAGCCGACTCGAACTGTCCAATTTTCTTCACGCAGCCTTGCAGTGAGTACATAGCGAACTATTCTTTCGCCTTTTACTAAAGAATACCGTGTATGCGCTGTGCATAGAGGCATATGTCTATTTTTGGAGGGTTGTTCCTTAATCGGATCACCCCATCAATTCTTAGTTCAGCAGCTTGATTGGCTCTTGTTTACCAGCTTCTTGAGTACCAAGTCTAGAAGCAAGTTTCTAGCAAACACCACAGAAGGGCAGTCACTTCTTTCTAAAATAAATTGCAGAAGGGCAGTCATTTCATTTCTTCTACACCGTCATTTTGTTCTTCTTCTGCATATGCTTCGCTGCAGAAATTTGGGAGAAGAATAATTCTGCGTTAAGTCTTTCTTCTGCATATCCTGAACTAATAATCATGGATTAGAAACAAACCTTGGCAATGAATTGAGCACTTGAACGTTCTGCAGTGCAGGCCAACAGAAGAAAGCTAGTTCCGAGCTAAGATTCTACACATTTGCTGCCTTCTTTTTTTGAAACTCCAAACAAACATAGACAAAAGTTTTCAGCTTTGGAAGCAGATTTGACAACCAGACTAGTGAACAGCTTCAAAACCATGTAGCTGAAAGAGAATTCACCAGTGGAACTAGAGACCAGAAAGGATCACAGAGGGGAAAAAGAGTTCTTACAATTTTGGATTCCTTCAGCAAGACCCTAAGAAATGGGGGCTTCATCTTCTCCACATCTGTGTTAAAGATAATAGCTTTGCCCTGAAGGGCCAGATTTGATACTCCTAAAACCATGGCAGCTTTCTGAGCTTGTAGCAAATTTCGAACTAGTTTGGAATAACTAGAGGAGGTTCGACAAAGGCGGGTTTCGATCTTTCATGCCGGTAGATAAAACGAAATGCGAAATTCCAGATGTTATTTTCTGCAAGCTTATTGACTGGTGAGACTAAAATCTCCATACTACAGCTTATCCTAGTGCAGCAGCATTGCATTCATGGCCTTTCCCACAATGAAATACCACATCGATGATGGACATAATACCACTGCCTTCCCTGACACAGAATTCTATATAAGCCAACTCCAACGTTAATGTTTTCTTCACGCAGCCTTGCAGTGAGCACATAGCGAACTATTCTTTCGCCTTTTACTAAAGAATACCGTGTGTGCGCTGCTAAAGAGGCATACGTCTATTTTTGGAGGGTTGTTCCTTAATTGGATCAGCCCCACAATACATAGTTCAATTCTTCTGAAGAAGGTTTCTTTGTTCTGAATCTGCCTACTTGCTATATCATTACCAAATAATAATTGAGCGAATCTTAAATCTATTTCTGACCCTGGTCTTTCACAATTCAATCAAGCTGTTTACTATGGTTTAGAATAGAATTAAACCCAACTAAACTTGCCAGCTTCCTGAGTTATAAATTCGCAAGCAAGTTCTCAACAAACAGCGTGATGTTCTCCTTAATGGAACTCAGTTTTTATAAGACAGCATAACAGATGGAAAGACTTTCTGGCTGGCTGCTTGTTTCATCTACGATGCTCGCTGGTGTTTCTTTGTGCAGACAGTTCGTTCTTCTGTCTGCTTACAGAAAAAGGATGCATGCTGAGTGTAAAACTCTTACCCATAAGGCATTCTATTCTGTGAAAGAGTGCTAACTCTGCTAAGTCGACATGCCTAACTCGTGCTGAAAATCCTGAAGGCAACTATTATTTGCTTCTTTACAGCATATGTTTCGGGTTCTGAATTTTTCGACTCTGAACACCCTCTTTTTCTAGGAAATGAGATAACTGAAGTCTACCTTGGTGAAAAAATTACAGGCAAAACAGAAAAATAAAGACAGTAACAGCTCCACCAAGCTAGGCAAATGAAAGATTTAAGATATACTACTTGTCACTATTTCTCAACGCTGACGGGGAGGAATCTGAACAAATATGTATTCCAGATTGCAACGAGCACCGTTGACCTAGCAAAGTGTAAACTGGGAAATTGTCGAATCTTCGTCAACCAACAGAAGTACAAAGTTCGAGAGGGAACTATGAGATCGCCACCAGTGTTACATTCGTAGCGAAACTCCAAGCGCTCCCAGCCCATGGCTGAATCCAAATTGGTTGAATAGAGAAGATGCATGCTTCACTTCATGCACAGAAATTAAGCTTCTTCATGACCTTTGCATAAGCTGCTGGCACTATGGCGGGCTTTCTAAGTCTGCGCTTTGCTTTGCTCGACTGCAGCAAGTAACAAAGAATCGTTAACCATTCAATATAAACATAGATGAAATGTGTGTACATCCAAAATGGAGCTATCTTAATAAAACGTTATGTGCAGACGAAAAGGATTCAATTAGATTAAATGCTTGTCTTGTCATTATTCAAACGTCTCTACCTGAAATGTGCTTTTCCAAATGAAAGCCTATTTCTTTTAAATCTTTCCATACAAGCAGGTAATATTGTCGATGCGAATCAACTTTGTTCCTGAAGTGTCTAAAAATACTCAGGTGCATCTCTTTTCTACTAGATAGCTGATTGTATTACTCTTACCCAACACCACACACATGTCTATGAACTTCCACATGCAGAAGCTTCTTGAACTAACTCTCATAATCCAGTCAATAAATTACCAAACATGTGCTTCAAAGCCATTTGTCATTTGAGGTCCTAAGTTTCAGATAACAGCTGTTGAAGTCCCTGTCCTCAATTAGTACAAGTGAATATCCCTTTTGAGCTAGAAACTAAAATGAAACTAGGGCAGAATGGTAAGAAATAATATCCTCCTATGTGTAGTGTAGGACTCTTTAATTGGCTAGTCTTCGTTTTCAGATTTAATTATGAAGTTCCTATTACAGTATTTTTCTTTTTTGGTGATGATACCTTCACAGTTGATTGTATCCAGATAGATACCCAATTCTACAAAATGAAGCATGCCTATACCCAGCTATACATGATGCTAAGGATCCTGTGTAATGTATAGAATCATTCTCACGCTATCACATACACTTGTAAATCCATGCAAAACCCCTTGTTTTCATCTTAGAAACATGGTATAAATTTCAAAATCCTAGGAAAACGTAAGATGATCCATAAACCTATCTGGGCCACCAAGCATTTATGTGCTTACAAACACGAACCACGTTTCAAGTAACTTCTGAAAAACAGCAACCCTAGTGGCTTACCAATAACAGCCCCAGAAACGGTTTCAGTATATAAACTAACAGTAGCTAATGCATGTTGAGGGAGCCTGGGGAGTGGGATAACAGAAGAATCATGGAGAAGTTGGCACTACAGCAAAAGAACAGACAAAGTTCTAATGAATCAGCCTCTTAATATGCAATGACAAGAAATGCAACTCTTTAGGATCTATCCCGGACATAAAAACGGTGCAAGATAGGATATTGTTGGTGAACTTAATTTGGCACTGATGCATCAAGTTCTGACTTAATGAAACAACTTCATAGCATTGGTCGGTCTCGGGTTATGGGGAAAAGGATAACTAGCCAGTTACTTTATGATAAGGCAGAAGGGAATAAGCTTCTATTGCGAGCACAAAGGGGTGTATGATCTGAATGCTAGGCAGACAAGTGAAAGATAAAAGGGATAGCAAAAATGATCAAAGCCATACCTTCAAGTGTGCATTGTGCCTCTTACCCTCGTGCCATCGCCGGATAGTCCCATCATTCAGGGTACGAAATCTTCCCTTGAAGGAACTGAAATGTCATAGATTGAGAATGGAAGTCATTAAACATCGCAAACAAACGAGACACTCAAATTTCCAAGTAACTGCTTCATGTCTTACGAGTAACCCTTCATTTTAATCTTCTTAACTTTGGAGGTGACTGGTGTCATGGGCTTCCTCCTCTTCTTCCGCTCCCTCGATGAAACACCTCGGACACCCACCAACTATATTCAAATGAAGAATTCCAACACTCAATTCGTATACGAGGAACACTCTAAATTGAAAATCCAATCCAAATTCTCGCTCAAATGAGGATTCAAGTGCACTTCTTTCCAGCATTTTGTCAGTCACCTTACTTGCAATTCAGAATGACCAATAGGGAGCAAGAACTTCAGAAGCTTACAGAGAAAGGCGATGAGACAGATTGAGACGGCAACACAGGGGACGATTTAGACGCATTGAGGAGCTGCCCACAAAGACTCCAAGCAGTAGAAGCAGCGGCGGAATGGAGTGGTTGGCCTTTACATGAAATAAATGGAGAAGAGTGGAGAATAAGGCGACGGGAAGAATAGGGTAGGAAGATTGGAGATCGATTAGAGGATTGCGCCGCTAAAGAGCGGAGCTTGGTGCAGATTCTCAGCATCTTCCGGCTTCAGCTTCACTTCCTTCCCTCGAATCACCACCTCCTTCTCGCGAAAACAGGATTCTTCAATTTTCGCTTCGTCGCCCGGTGAAAATACTTAGGAGCTTCTTTCTTGGTTTGCTTGCGGGCTTATCATTGGGCCTTAACTGAACCCAAAGGGTCAAAGGAGAAAGCCCATTCATTCAGTTGGGCTTGGTGTGCACCTATCCGTCCGGTTCGGAGAGGATCATCCCATGAGAACCGCGGTCCAATAATCGAAAGAATTCATTTTTAGAAGTAAGAGAAATTGTAGTATGAAAGAGCGGATCAACATTGCATTATGTCGGGTGTGATTAATTTTCTCCTTCATCCATCATGTAGTAGGTGCTTCCAAATCCACATAAAATCACTCACTACTCACAACTAACGTTCTCTTGCTGTCTTGCATAATCTCCTCAAATGTCGAATCTAGTTGTTTCGATCTGGCCTCCATAATAATATGATCCGTCGACTCTGATACCAAGTTGTTATATGGAATTTTTCGGAGAATAGATTTAGGAAGGGGTTGTTATGGAAGGAAGAAGAATGGAAAATAAATACATAGAATAGCTTAATTCGAGGAAAATCAACCTCCCAAATTAACAATAACACATACATGTGTAAATCCTCTTTAGTCTTTTTAATTATGTTCAATTCATAATGTGTACACTAATGATTACTCCCTAGTCTCCTACATCTTAAATAAGTAAATTACAACTAATTCCATATAATTTAGGGAACTTGATCTGCAAATCCTAACTAGTGAAATCCGAACCTTCCACTAATTGCACCCACTAATCCACGTGATAATCCCACCCCTAACAACCCATAATCAACTAATAATAATAATAATTAAATAAATGCACTTGAGTCACACTTAAAAGTTAAAAAGACTCCAGCTTTCACTGGCCAGGTATACTAAAGACTCCACCTTTCCCTCTCATTCAACCTGAGATTCGCTTGAGTTTCATTGATAACGCAATCAACAGTAAAATTCTTCCAGGCACGGAAAATCCCCATTGGCAAGCCGAAAGGTTTTAGACAGAAGTTGAAGTGCAGAGCATCAATGGCGGAGGAGCTAATCATCACCCTGCCGGATGACTGGCATCTCCACCTTCGCGACGGGGACCTTCTTCAAGCTGTTGCGCCCCACAGGTGAGAATCTTAATGCTGCGTCTGATGTGGGTAGTAGCAACTAGCAATTTACTGAACAGTTTGATCAATAGAAGAACAAGAGCTACTGATGGTTAGCGGGGAACTGATTGGGTTCACGAGTCTGCACTTTGCAGCTCGAGTCAATTTGGAAGGGCGATTGTGATGCCAAATCTGAAGCCTCCCATTACCACCACTGCAGCAGCCGTTGCTTACAGAGATTCTATTATGAAAACCCTGCCTGCTGGTAGTAACTTTTCTCCTCTTATGACACTTTATTTGACGGATAAGACAAGCCCTGAGGAGATCAAGCTTGCAAGTAAGCCCAATTTATTGACTATCCCATTTGAAATGTCTATTTGTTTGATCCACTTTTGGGGTTTTAGTTTAATGTCATTGCAATTTGCTGTCTTTTCCAAATGCCATACATTTGAATGATCTTTGCATTTCCTGCTTATCAGTAAGCACAGATTTTGATTCCACTTGAAATGGAAGACTTGTGGATAGTCTTGTAATGATTGTTCTGATTCTGTTGATAGGAAGAAGTGGGATTGTTTATGGTGTGAAGTTGTATCCTGCTGGTGCTACCACAAATTCCCAAGATGAGGTTACTGATCTTTTTGGGAAATGTCTTGCTGTGCTGGAAGAGATGGTTGAGCAGAATATGCCTTTACTGGTATTCCCACACTTCCACCATGTTTGACTAGCTGATTATGCTTTGGTGTTTCTTTTTCTTTTCTTGTGGAAAGTGCTTCGGTGTTTCTAGTAGGGTTACTGCTTCATTCTGTTTCTTCTTGAATGTGCGTCATTATTAACCCAATGGTGGGTTCTTCAGTAAGAGTAATGGTGTATTATGTTGATGAAGAGAGCCGTTTTTTGGATGATCAAGTCAGTCTCGTTTCGTCTTTGCCTAGAAATGATACATTAAATCGTCAGGTACTGACAGAGTGTACTGTATAGAACACCTTTCTTCGAACCATAAGCGACCTTCAGAGCTCCAATTGATATAAGATATAGCTCACATAGCTGTAGAATATTTTCGCTTGCATAAACCTGTGCTGGTTGGATTATTAAATCATTCTCAAGACTCAGAAGCTCGATTTTAACAGCAACTTGGACTAAGCTCAACTTTCTATTTTCATTTCTTGTTGTTTCTTCAGGTCCACGGGGAGGTCACAGATCCAAAAATCGATATTTTCGATCGTGAAAAGGTCTTTATCGAAACTATATTACAGCCTCTAATCAAGAGGCTTCCCAAATTAAAGGTTGTCATGGAGCATATCACAACAAAGGATGCTGCTGATTTCGTTGCATCCTGTAGTGAAGGTATGCTAACTATTCATAGAAGACTTTTTCGATTTGCTGTTGAGTGCTCTTGCTTTCAGTTGCTTCGTCATAGACAATTTTGATGCATGTGCTCCCTTGTACTTCTACCTTGTAGGATTTGTTGCAGCAACTGTCACTCCTCAGCATCTTCTTCTAAATAGAAATGCTATCTTCCAAGGAGGATTGCAGCCGCATAACTACTGCCTTCCAGTACTCAAACGAGAAACCCATCGTATGTTACGAAGCTAAATTTATTATGGTTGTGTTTGCTAAGCTTTTGCTGCAAATGAACTTGTTATTTGCTGTTAAGTTTCTTGTCGGTTGGTCTTTTCATAGTAAGCAACAGTTGGGGGTTAACATAGAGCTTCAGAATATATGTTATATGTATAAGAACTCTCCCAAGATGATGAGTAATGTCTGTTTATTTGTGTTGATCCTTTCCAGGACAGGCAATCGTTTCTGCTGTGACTAGTGGAAGTAAAAGATTCTTCCTTGGAACCGATAGTGCACCTCATGAGAAGCAATGCAAAGAGTCTTCTTGCGGATGCGCTGGCATTTACAATGCCCCTGTTGCCCTGTCAGCATACACCAAGGTTTTCGAAGAGGTGATTTCTTTTCCTGTGTCTGTAACTTAGGGCTACTAAATGGATTTCGGTTTTCCTGGTTAACCGGTTTAAACACCATAACGGTCATTCTTGTCGGTTATAAGTCAGTTAGCAAATGATTTTGGTTAACCATTAACAGTGAAGGTTTGGTTTCTGTTACATACTTACATGTAATATGGACATAACGATTAACTGTTTATTGGTTAACTGAACCGGTTTACGAGTCCTCTGTATTAAGCTTTACAAGTTATGCCCTAAACAAATACTGTGTCACTTTACATGGTTTCTTTTTGAGCTTGTTATAGGCTGGAGCACTTGACAAGCTAGAAGCATTCACCAGCTTCAATGGGCCGGACTTCTACGGCCTCCCCAGAAATACATCAAGAGTCAAACTCGCCAAGACTCCATGGAAGGTACCGGAGTCGTTCTCATTCTCATTTGGAGAGATTGTGCCCATGTTTGCTGGTGAAACGCTGGATTGGCAACCTTCCCTCGTCTGATCGATCGAATGTACCCCCATCTGCTCATCGCTCTGGTCATGTCTACGCGGTACAAGTTCGACGAATGTCAGATTGTTAGCTTTAAATCAAAGGTTTGTAGACAACAGCAAATGGTGGGATGAAGTTTTATATGCACCTGAAGTCCTGAATGAACATTCAGGGTAGGACAGAGGTAAGCATATACTACAATACCCATGATGATTCCTCTACCCTAATTTCTCCTTCATAGGCTTGGGCCTTGGCCCACGAGATCCAAGTAGCGGCAGGTGGGCCGCACATGGGCTTGTATGTAACCTTCAGGTCCAGCCTCTGCTTTGTTTGTTGTTCAAAGTTTTTTTCTTCAATTATCATTTCCTCTAATTTTGAGTGACTAATGCTAATGTACACTTCTACACCTATCAAAGGGATTACACATTGGTAGTGGAAGAGTTCTGCCTTTACATTATGACCTATTTCTAAGTTTGTACCCTCCATGTATTTTATGTGCTTTCTTGTATCATCATCATCCTATTATGCTTCATTCTCAAGGTTCGCCTTTCGTCTAATTTTCTCATTTTTTTGTTAAATGATTTGATTTCACGGAGGATGATAACTCATTGTATATATGAAATGTCGAAATACCCTACCTATAGACCCCAATTTCTTCTCCCTTGGGCTAAAAATCTTCATTTGTTGCCACAAATCTTTCGCCGTTCTTCTTGAGACACTTGTACCTAGAATCTTAGCTCGCACAATTCGAGAGAGAATTAGGGAACAAATTAGGGTCGGTTTTTTCATCCTTAATTAATCTCCTCTCTGTCTCTGTCTCTTTCAAATTTCTCACTTCACAGACTCAATTTTTTCTAAAATCCATACACAGTTATGTTGTAATTTTGTCTAAAACCCTTTAAGTTATCAACCGACTCTCTTTAATTAATCGGTCTCCCTAAATTAAAGGAATTATCAAGATTTAGATACTCAAGGGGGCGGTAAATTTTGGTGGAACCCAACATCAAATATCAAACGTGGAGATGAGTGAGTGAGTGAGTGAGGCAAAGTTTTTGTTGTTTTGTACATTAGTTGAATCAAAACGGGGAGGCTTGGGGAGTGGCCCATGGGATTGGAATATGGGCGTGGCACCAGATCCAAGAAAGCTTCTCCGCCTAAACAGCAATGGTGTGTAACACTCTGTTTTAGGCATCTCTCTGTTTCTTTCTTTCTTTCTTTCTTTCACCTTCTGGCCCTCTGTTTCCTTTTGGATCCATCTGATAACATAACACCAAACCCTCTCCTTCATACCTTCGCTCACGGTATAGAGTAATGACAAAGATCGGTGTTTTCTTGGAACCCAACAATGAATGACCAAAACCCATAACAATACCGTCGTTTTGCTCTGTCACAGACAAAGCAAGAGAATGAAAGAAGAAAAACCCAGAAACAGAGAGAGAGAAACAGAGAGTTGATTTTTGGCGGATGGGTCCAAATTTCTTCCCGTGGGGCAATGGGGGCAGGAAAGCCATACGTTTATGGAAAACCTGATCTCCAAAACGGGGGCCCGTTTCATATTCCCCCCCGTTATTTTTGAGTTGCCCGTCGAACAAGTTAAAGAAGACTTACCAGAGATTCCTTTGAGGGGCATGGCGATTGAATGCGGGACGTTGTCGCTTTTCAATGGGTTGTTGTTTAGGAGTTCTATCACTGTCATCCATACAGCAACACAAACTACCGCTTTTTCCTTAACCGGGCTGGTTAATGATTTACATTCGACACTTATTTTATGTAGTCATCACTTCTGAGCGAATGGTCGTTAACTTCTGATTTCGAATCCGATTACACTCAACATTGACTTTTGAATCAAACACAAGGTTGTCTAGGCTTAATTAGTACAAGATTCACGCGCACGCCCTAGTGAACAAGCTTTCAAAAGGGTAAGTGAGGACTTCCCACCATTTTCAAAATCTCTGATTCCTCGTTAGTTTTATCTGGAATTACAATGGTAGTTGACGGACAATACAGAAATTTGTCTTTTGTTTAAACTTTTTTTTTTATATACTATTTGCATCATAGGAGAGGAGAGTATATGTGTATGCTTTTAGGGTTCAAAATGGGATAGTTTCCTTTAAACGATTATTACCCCCATGGTTTAAACCTATAAGGTGAAGCTTATCACCTCACATTACATAAACCAAACCCCTTGAAGTTAAAGTGAGATGGTTGTTGGTAAAGTATAATTAAACAGTATTTATGTAATTTGTTATATAATTATGTGTTTCATAAAGGTACGCGAGCTCGATATGAACAGTGAAACCTGATCGAAGAAAGAATGCTATGAACTATATGTTACCTACAAATACTAACAAGCCCTCGCTCTGCATTGCATGACCCAAGACCTTACCGTTTCCCTAGCTTTCATTAGCTTACGCGTACTCGGTTGAAGGCTCGGTGAGACCTTGTCTTCTTTTCGAGAGAGAGAGAGATGAAGGCTTCCTTAATGGTAGGGTAGTTATTGTAACAGTAAATGAATTGTACTTCATATAACAAAGAGCAGATTCAGTAATAACATAGTTGCACCAATTGTAGAATTCCAATTTTTTTTTTTTAAAACATTACACAGTCAGAATAGTGGGAAGCAGAATGTTTTTCAGAACATAGATACAGCCAAGCTATATCCCATTTTTATGCAGGCAGATTGGCCATCCTCCACATTGCCACCACCACAAGACTGCCACCCTGAAGGCCTGAACTCAAAGAAGATAAAAAAGAGAGAAGGGCCGGGTAAAAAGTAAAAACTGAAAAGCAAAAGAAAAGAACACCACCACTGTCCCAATCTCTCTTCCAATAAGGAAGGGATCGTAAAGTTAGATACAACTCACAACACTGGAAAAACACAGTAAAAAGTGTTACCCTTTGGCCTTTACACCATTTAAAAGCCATGGAAGAAAGAAAAATGTTTGGAAAAGAGTAGGAACGAAGAAGGGGATGTTTGGGTAAGAATCCCTTTTCAAAGGTCTATTTAATATTTATCGTTTGCTGATTTCAAATCTTAAAATTTAAGATTAATTCACATATGTGGTCCAGATATATCGATGATTAAACGTAATGTCTCGTTATTTTTCTTTGCGTTCTTCGGATTTATAATATTAAAAACAAATATACATCACCAATGTTAAATTGACAAATCCACCTATAAAGTAAAAAAGAAAGAGTGAAATTGAGACACCAAAGAGGATTAAGAGGAAACAAGTGAGCATGATGGTGTAGAATTAAGAGGAAATACAAGTCACAATCACCTTAGATTAGACTAGAGAGACAAGCTAGGAGTTAAGGCATGAGTTTAACCCTTCCTTTTTCTGTCTATTGCACTTCAAAAGTGAGTACAAAGTTAAGGGTAAAACCCATGGAAAGATACAGCAGAAATCAAAAGGGAAAACAAAGCCCACAAACAAAGCCCTAGCAATGTTTCAAAAAGAAACAACAAATGAAGCCCAAACCCCAGAGCCTGCAAAGTGAGCCCAATAAACCCTACTGACAACTACCAACATCAACCCTAGCCATCATCTCTTCTCCAACCTGCCGCCGCCAACCATACGAACAGAGCCGCCGAAAAACCAAACGTCGACCACCAGCTCGCCGTGCAACGATCGGACCAACACCACAACGGGAGAAACAGCAGTCCGCGAGGAGCCCGGAGACCAAGAAAACGGCAACGAACAGGCTTGGAGAAAAGAGACGAGCTTTCAGGCCGATGCATCCCTGCCTTCAACATCTTAGAACCGCATCCAGGCCGCTGCATATGAGAAGGCCTTTGCATCTCCGAAACACCGGCTCAATGGGTGAAGCAAGGAGGTAGATTGAAAGGTAATAAGATGCGAAGACAAGCTACCGATCAGAGATCTATAGCCCCTTTGACCACCGAGAGAAAGAACCAAAACATCTAAATCTGAGGATCAGAAGTAGAGTCTGGAACAGGAGACATCCATCTCACAAGGAGTGGCAGAATGAAAATCCCAAAGATGGGCATGAAGGTGAAACGGAGATCTGGACAAGGAACAAACGAAACATGCACTGAGAATAAAACTGGAACCAAAACAAAATAAAAAGCTGGAAAGAAAAAAAGGGTTGGGGGGCCACCGTCGGTCCCAAAGGGAAGCCGCCGCAGGCCCCATGGAGCTTGAATCTGAAGCCTAACTTAGAGAGAAGGCAGAGAAAAGGAAAGTTAGAGAGAGAATTTGTTTATCGCATCGAATTTTTCATTCCTTTTCTGTCTATGGTGAAACATGGTGTTTGGTACTATCCCAAACATTGATAGTTACATCCACATTAATGTTGATCTACCAAGTACCAACCTAATGCAATAAATAACAACCCTCCTGAAAGTTGTAGGTGATGTTTTTCCATCGATCAATGGTGGTAAATAACGGAGTTCTAACGTTGATTAACTTTACTCTTTGGAATCCAATGTTCGGAGAATTTGAACTGTGATCATATCCTTCGTTAACTCTGGAAACTTTGATGATTCTACAAAATTGAAGGTTTCAAGAATGCTAAGTCCTGTTGGGTCATGACTCGTTTTTCATCGCAAGGTCTCCACTCCAGTGAGGAGTTTATTGTACGGAGGATGTTGTATTGTAGGAGATTATCTCAGTGTTGTGAGGTATGAATAGTCTACTAATGTAGAATGAGTTCTTGCTTTCGCATTTATACGATCCTACACTTATTAGGGATATGGCACTAAAGGATCAAATTCAAATCTGAAGAGGAGCAAAAACTATTGACAGTAGTCATTTGCCGATTTCCAAGCATAAGTTTTAAGATTAATTCGCATATGCAGTAGTCCAGATTTATCATTTTACAGACGACATGATTTAGGAAATTATAAGTGAACTATTAAATGTAATGAGGAAACACAAGTCACAATCTCTAGACTAGAAACAAGCTAGGAGATAATGCATGAGTTTAACCCTTCTTTTTTTTTTCTGTCTATGGTGAAACATGAGATTTGGTACTCTCTAACATTGATAGTTACATCCATATTAATGTTGATCTACCAACCTAATGCAATAATAAATAACTGTCCTCCTGAAAGTTGTAAGGACTAAGGAGATGTTTTTTCATCGCTTGGTGGTAGAAGCTCGGAGTCCTAAACCCAGATTAACATTACTTTATGGCATTCAATGATGGGCAATACTTGGCTGCTGTCTGGGTTGCAGCCCACCGCTGCTACCCAATGACGTGGCCACATATTATTGGTTGGTAGCATGTTAATTAATTATTTAACTTAACTGGATTATGACGGGCGGAAATAAAAGTTATGACGGGACGGGAAACGGACGGAGCCCAAACGGTGCTGCCTCCTTAAGTTTTATTGTATTATTATATTGTAATCTATTTCTTTATTAATGGATAAGGTAGGGGATGGGATTAGGTGCTAACCCTTATAGGGGTTAGCACCTTGATAACTAGCAAAAAAATGCTAAAAAAACAACGAAATCACTACGGATTATTATAAAATCAATACAACATCTAAGCTAAATTACTACTAACTCTTGGTTAGGACGGTGCTAACTCTTGTACAATTAGCATCGTAACTCCTCCCATAAGGTAGATGATAAACTTAAACACACAGCACTCCCATGTTTGATTTTTCTTGGTACTTAGTAGGATTATGATTAGGTTTGAATAGATTATTTTTATAGAATTAATTTAAGCATTTAGGGATGAATTTCGTACTTGCTATTTTTTGTACAATTCATTTGGGATGGATGTTTTGACCTTTTTTAAGATTTGGCTATTATTTTGTTTAAAATGAAAGATTTGACTATTATATTATATTTACCTTTAAAAACATAAAAAGCTGAAAACTATGACAGTGATGTTTAAGACAAATAGGCTTGGAGGACTACCATATTAGGTTGGAAAGCATAGTTAGTAAAATACGATACGGAAAAGTTACGTACAAAATACGTACGGGTATTTTACTTCGTCTCTAAGTTAACGTTACGTTTAATAGTATGTTAATATTAAAAAATATATAAAAATAATTATTTTAAAAATAAAAATGTAAACAATAGTAAATTTAATTATTTTAAAATAAACAAATATATAAACAATAGTAAATTTAACAATTTAATTCATTAAGTACGGATATTAAACGTGTTATATGGGTTTTATACATGTTTAGTACGAGATCCATTAAATGAAGAAAAAAAAAAAAGAAATGACTTGACAATAATACGAATATGAAAATTTTAAACGGATAAAATACATACAAATACATATATGTGTATTAACCAAAGTATTTACTAAATATGTTGGAAAGCAATTAAGCATGAGATGGGAGTGCAAGTGTGTTTAATTTTATTATTTCCCGTTTCAATTAATAAAAATATATCACAATTATAATATAATAAAACATAAGAGGCATCATTGTTTGGGCTGCTTCTCCCCATCTAAGAAAAGAGCCAGTTTCCGTCCGGTTTCCGTCTCCGTCATAATCCAATTAAGTTAAATGATTAAGTAACATGTTTTGAACCAATAATATGTGGCCACGTCAATGGGTAGCAGCGGTGGGCTGCAACCCAGACAGCAGCCAAGTATTGCCCTTCAATGATTGGGAAATTTTTGAACTCCGATCTTATCCTTCAGTAACTTTTGGAACTTTGATGATCCTCTATTTTTTTTTTTTTTGTTTGTTTGTCGAAAACTTTGATGATTCTCCAATCTTAGAAGGTTGAACTTCACAATGCTAAGTCCGCGTGACATGAGCTCGTTGCTCATCGCAAAGTCTCCCGTGACTAGTTTATTTGCATGGTTGTGTTTGTATTGTATGAAATCATCGCAAGTGACGACATTGGTTGTGAGGTATGAATTAATAGTCTATTAATGTGAAATGAGCTCTTGCTTTCGCATTTATATGATCATACACTTAGGGGGTAAATTGCAAGGTTGGTCACTGAGATTACTAAAAAGGTTCATGTTTGGTCACTAGAAATATTTAATTTCATTCGTGGTCACTAAAATTACTAAAACAGTTCAAGTTTGTTCACTCTCCGTCCAACTCCGTTAACTTTTGCTTATGTGGCGGTCAACTCTTATAGTTGACCGTTAAATGTGTGACATGGCAATAAAAAATAATAAAATAAATACAAATTAAATTTTTAAGCTTTCCACCTCTGCAACTATTAAAAAATAAAAAATAAATTCATTTTAGAATTAGCCGCCGTCACCGGCGCCATGGACGTGCTGCAAGCAGAGTGCGAATCTGGGTTCCACACCACGGCGGCGGAACTGATCGCCGGAAAATGGATCAAGTTCGGCCTCAAAATCAGCGTGGCGCTATCCATGGGTTCACATTTCGTTGAATTATTAATATAAAATGTACAGAGGAAAAAGAGAGAGCTAGAAGCACAACCAACCCTGGTTGTGATTTTCGCCCTACTTTCCTCCAAAAGCTTAATTTCTCATGAAACAGCCACCACCACTATTAGTATAATCACCTACTTATACTCACTCCCCAATTTCCCTTCATCTCCTCCAATCCTTCACCCCCAATTTCCCTCCATCGCGACCAACCTCAATTTCAGCCATGGGGAACTGCTTCGCCATGGAAACTCCGGTCAACCACTACCAAGCCCCGACCACCATCGCCGCCGCCTCTCCAGGTTTTATTTCGTCCATTGCATATCGTCCTACAAGCCCTTGAAGATTTAACGAACGTTTGTTGCTTTTAGTTGTCGGAAATTGAAATTCTGTTGGGTTGTTGTTCGATTTGGCAGAGTTTTGTGCGCAGCTGAATAATAGCAGCAATGACATCGTTGAGAGCGTCAATAGTAATGGCGGAGATCACAGTACTACAGGCAGCGAACCGGCGCCGCCGGTGGGTAATACAAGGAGGCCGAGCTTGCAGATCTTCAAGCCGACAGACTTGAAGAGCGAGACGAGGAATTTTCAACCGCACAAGGTGCTCAGGGAGGGTGGGTTTGAGACGGTTTACAAAGGCTGGATCGACGGGAGAATTTGGCGCCGCCGTGGTGTGCAACCCAGATCCACATTCTGCTTGCGGAACGTCCGACAACTAAATGGATATTTCTTTTATTTTTTAATAGTTGCAATAAGCCAATAATAAGTGGAAAACTTAAAAAATATTTTTTATTTATTTTTTAATTGTCATGTCACATATTTAACGGTCAACTATAAGAGTTGACCGCCACATAAGCAAAAGTTAACGGAGTTGGACGGAGAGTGACCAAACTTGAACTGTTTTAGTAATTTTAGTGACCACGAATGAAATTAAATATTTATAGTGACCAAACATGAACCTTTTTAGTAATCTCAGTGACCATCCTTGTAATTAACCCTACACTTAGGGTATGAAACTAGAATCATTCGATGTAAAGATTAACGACACCTGGAGTAGACAACGTGATGAAGAATACAAGATCGTAAACCATCGATGTTGGATTAACATGCCTTAATAACAAGCCATGTATAGAAGTAAATCAAACTTCATGATAAATATGTTTTCCACTTTCACAAGTCTCGATTGTAAACCGTACCTAGCTAGATCAAAGGTTTCAAAAAGTTAATCTCCCTGTGTTTTTTTCGGGTCTTTCCGACTAAAATACATGCATTTCAAATAATGTACACGTTCGCTCCCTTTCATTGCTGAAATTAAAGCACAAGCATTGGTTTTCTGCTCTCTCACTTTCTGCCCTTTCTTTTATTTATTTATTAGTTAAAGGAATATCCAATCAGAAGAAAAGAAAAGACGAGGGTGCGACAAAGGAAGGACGATTAAAAGTAAAACGACAAAGTCAGCAATTCATTCTTCCTTTAGGAGATCAGATAATAGTTTAGCTCAAGCAGGGGTAAATATTTTTTTTCGGAACGGTAAAAAATACAGCAATTCTGCTTCTGGAATTAAGAACACCAGTAATTGTAATTCTGCTGCCTGACAAAAGATACGTATAATAATAGTACTACGCTACTCTGTACAAGTTATCCAGAGCGGTAAATTAAATTTGACAGAAGGATGAAAGGATAAAAAAAAGAAAAGAAAAAAGAAAAAATCCCTAATATAATAATAATATTAAATTGAGTTAACCAAAGAAGGCGGCAGCTGCAAAGAGATCGGCGATCCAGAGAGAAAGAGATACCTAATTTGGGAACAATGGTGAATGAATCGTTAACAATTACGAGGCTGCTGCTGCTGAGTAAGGATGAGATCAGCAACCACCTTCTTCTTCTTCTTCTTCTTCGACTGCTCACTCTCTCTCTCTCTCTCTCATGGCTTTAATGGAATCCACTCGTAACGTCCTTCCAACGGCTTCTCGTTGGCAAAGTCGAAGTTGTACCTGACCACAGCAGCAGCAGCACCATCAGACTCTTTTTTTTTTTTTTTTTTTTTCTCTCTCTCAGGAAACAAACAGTCCGGGAGAATTCAGAGAAAGATTATGATGCATGCATGACTTACTTCTCATTCAATCGATTCAGTTCCTGTTTCCCGCCGTTCATACTGCTGAAGAACAGCTCCAGCTCCGCTTCCGTCACCACTATCCTCTGCTGGTTCGCCGTCGAAGAATTCCGCACAGCCGCAGCAGAGGATTCCTCCTCTCCCTGCTCCACCGCCGTGGAATTCCGCAGCTCATCAGGTCTCTCCATTGGCTCGAGCTCGTCGACAATCTCTTCTCCTGTCGCCGTCTTGATTATAACCGTCGACCGACTACTCGTCGTCTCTCTCCTGCGAGGAATTTGAAACGGAAGGAAAAGAAAGAATTGAGAGAGAAACGGACATCGCTATATGTGAAACACAGGAGAGGAGGGAATAAATACCGAAGCCGCGGAGGTTTTCGAATTCGAAATTAATACGGTGAGAATGAATACTTTTTTTTTAAGAATTTGAAAAACGGAAACTATTAAGAGAGTCCGACTTGGATAATAAAACGACTACAAACCTTTCTCTCTCGCCGCCGCCGCAATCCGTCGGCGATTCGATTTCAACTTCAGCCTGCTCATCCTCCTGCTGGAAAAAAAAAAAAAAATAATAATATAAGCAAAAGGAAATCAAAATTCTGACCGAATTCTCCAAAATTTCGCCGGCCTTTTCTTTCTCACCTGCAGATCTGAGAATCCAGACGCTCCCTCGCTCGATCCATTACTGGAGCAGCAGGAATCGTCGGAGCAGAGCCGATCAACTCCCTCCTCCTCCTCCTCCTCCGCATCCGCCGTCGCCGCGCTGGGGCTTGTAAAACACCTCTCGATCTCTCCGCTCCGACGACCGGAACTCGAATCGCCTGCTGCCGTGCTAGTCGCCGAGTCGCCTCCTCCACTCGTAAATTCGCGTTCTCTGCCTCCGGCGGCGCCGCGGTGGTTGAATTTCCGTCGCTTGGTGGAAGAGGAGGAAGGGGGAGGGGAATCAGGCGTGGAAGAGGAAGAAGCCAAAGGGAAAGGGCGAGGTCTTGTCGTGACGCCGACGCGAGCCATTTGCGCGAGAAGACTGACTGACTGACTGACTGACAGACAGACAGTGTGGGAATGGCGTTTTGCTGCTTCTTCTTCTTCTTCTTCTTCTTCTTCTGCGGAGAAGATATGATATGGAGAGCTCTGAGAGAAGGAAGGAAGGAGGGGAAGAATTTGGCTGGGCGTTATAAGTGTGAGAGAGAGAGTGTGTGGGTGGGGGGTCCGTTAACAGTGACGGGGAATCTGTAACGGTGAAATTGACGGCGCCGTTATGCAGATCGGGAATGCGCCGATTTCGAAGCAAATGAGTGGAGGACACGTGGGTTCTGCGCACGTTAGGAATGTCAATTAATTTTTTTTTTTAACAGTGGGGAAGGAAGAGAGTGTGAGGGACTCGGAGTAATGATTTGATGCAGTGGGAGATGGTACAGAGGATGTTAAATTGCAGAGAGAGAGAGAGAGAGTATTAATGCTTCTTTGATCTCATTAAAGTCGGAGTTATTATATTTTAGGTCAAGTCTGATTATCAGATTATGTGTAGTGGATAGGCATAATTATAATTTTGTAAATAATTGGTATCGTATACGTTGAATAACCCACGAAGCACGTAACAATATCGTCCATGGAGTAATGACTTACTTAACAATGTGAAATTCAGTTGTTTTTGTACAGATTTAGGTGTTTCGTTTTCTAATCCCACTCATTTTGTACAATGCTTATCCGCTATACGGATTGATGATAATCTAGTGATGCATGAGCGAACAAAACATATTAAATTTGACTGTGATCTTTCTTTGATTAGAGAATTGGATGTGTCTTTCTCTAACCAACTTGCAAAAGGTACTTATGAAGTCTATGTTTTTTACATGCATATGTAGTAATAGTGACCAACACCCATCTTCTCTGTCGAAACGTAAATTCCAAGCATTAAAATTGGTAACTAGAGTTGTCATTAATTAATATTTTAAACACGGCTGTTAGGGCTGATGGCAAGTGGCAACCCAAGGCAAAAGCAAGAAGGAATGAGATAGCATGCCTACCCATAAAAGGGTTGGCAAAATGACAACCCCTATTAATTATAGGTTTTTAAGATAATTAATTTGTGTTGCATTTAATAATCTGTATGAATTAAAAACACATATTAATTACTTTCCTTTTTTCAGTGCACTAGTAGTTGTATCAGTGCACTGGTAGTTGTGTACATGTGCAATGGTAGATGTATCACTACAATGGTAGTTCCAAAAAAGAAACGTTAATATGAGTTCAGTATACCAGTGCATTGATACAACTACCAGTGCACTGATACAACTACCAGTGCACTGAAAAAAGGAAAGTAATTAATATGTGTTTTTAATTCATACAGATTATTAAATGCAACACAAATTAATTACCTTAAAAACCTATAATTAATAGGGGTTGTCATTTTGCAAACCCATACAAGGGTTAGCATGCTAACCGATCCCACCAACTGCGGGAAAACAAAAGGAAACCCCCGTTTTGGAGTTTGACTAAGTAACTTTGGGGATGTTTAAATGGAACGGAACCGTTAATTTAATGGGAAAAATTGTAAAACAAGACGGTTCAATGAAGTATTGTTGCTTCGAAATATAAAATAATTTTGTACTATAATATTCAAGTTAAAATTTCAGTTCAATTTGTATTATAAATAAATTTGTACACTTATGTTATAGTACAAATTCAATTTGTATCGTAATATAATGATATATATTTAATTTATACTATAAAAATTGTACGAAAAAGTATAGTATAGATGTCAAATTGCATTTGTACCATTATGTAAAAGTTATTCAATGTGTATCATAATTTTTTTTTTAAACTGAAACACCAATACTATAAAAACATTTTAAAATTACTCAAAACAGAATGGGTGGTATTATTATGAAATGGGTGTAGGGGACATGACACATGATTGTTTTAATTTGGGCCATAAACGGCTGGACGATTGGGTGAGGGGAAGAAATTAATTTGGGGCCATAACGACTTCAACCATTATTATAACAACATTTTTATGTCACATCCCTCATTACAAATTATATGGGAACTAAGACACCAAATCACCTTTGTAAGTAAATAAAATTTAATTTTTACGAGATGATTAATCCGACGTGTTATTTAACCAAATGAAACAAACTAACCAGGCAATCATAGGTCTCATCTAGGGATGACAATGAATCGTGGGGTGCATAGATAAAAAAAAAATGAATGACAAAATACCTACAGGGCTTTTGAAGAGAAAATCCAACTCAGTCCAATCCAACAAGTATATGAGGGTGCATGGGTATCCATAGATTCACGAATATAACCGCGAATAATTCTTTTCAACACGTGTATCCTTATATTATTAAAACTTTTTCTAAAACTATATTGCTATGACGCCAAAAACATCAATAATTATCCATATCATTAGAATTATATTTTCACAAATACTACTAATAATCATAAATTATTCATATTATAAGGATTGTATACTAAACTTTGTCATTTTTCTTTCCAATTAAGGACGGGTCGTGTGGATTAACGAGTTGATCGAGTTTTGTCTAAACCCGCATCCTATCCAATCCACTATTTCCAAAAGCGAGTAATTTTACCCACATCCAACCAAAACCCGCCAACTTGAATATTACTCGTTTTTATCCTATTGAATTGGGTTGGGTAATTGTGAATACAGTTCAATTGTCATCCCTACTTGCATCTCGCACGTCCTCTCCAGTACTTGGAGCATCATTCTGTCACCTTGGATAATTGGATCATACCATCTCACACCATGGTTACTTCACTCCACCATACTACCAAACATAAATTGCACTATGATTCTGCCTTCTTCCTCCAATAATAATCCAAGAAGATGATGCCTTGGCTTGGGTTCAAAACTAAAAGGCACCCAACACTATGATCATTTCCACCCACAGTTTCCTCAATGAAGGGGGGGGGGGAAATAATGATATTGGATAAGGATATAAAGTAAGATTCCTTTGGAATTAGATAAATTATATACTAGTAGACAAAGGCACATGGATCTGTATATTTGTAATGCCCCTTATATGTACATGAGATTAGAGACAAATTCATGATATGTCAAAGTACAAATGACTTATAAATTGGTAAGGTATGTAGTTGACATGTCGTATTTTCGAATATAATTTCACTTACATGTTAATTCGAAGGAAATTTTTTGAATGATACTCGTAGAATTATAAATCTAATTGATAGTAGGGGAGTCCGAAGATGGGATGATGTGCATGATTTGCAGGTTGCGTGAGACATGGGGCATCAACAACAGGTAGTCCTCCAAATGAACTCACAAACGGCTATACAACTGTTACAATAATATTCGGAGATTCGTCACCCTCATTTTGTCACGACGACATAAGTCCCCCAGACTTCTTGCTCTGGATTGTCAAGTCCAAATCGTCCATATTTATAGGGATCGCGACGTGGTTGCGAATTATCTTAGCATCAGCAGGGCCTATGTTACCATTGGAGAGCACATTCTAGCAACCCCAAATCCCTAGTACTCCAAATTATTGGTTGTAATATGCTTTACACCATGCACTATGCCTATCTAATGTATGGTTACCATTCGTTGATCCTTTAATAAAATAAACCTCTATAGGACGGCAGTCAGTGACCACAAAGAAGGGGGGAAAACAATGAACTTTAATCTCTCATCAAAATGCACCTTTTTCTTTTTTGTTAAGTAACTTTAAGTTGAATCTGTGCAACATAAATTATTGGGGAAAAGCCCGATTTGAATGATTAGGCTGACCTCACCAAATATTCCCTCCCATTCAGCAGTGTTATACCACTAGCCAAAGAAAAAGAACAGAGTTTTTGGTGCAATCTGATGATTTCTAGTGTATTTATGGGCTATACATGAAGTCAATGGGGGATAAGAGAGGACTTGCCAAAATTTTCCCTCATTCGATCGATCTGTATAATGTATTTGTGGTACAATTGTCAATAATTTTTTTACGTACAAAAATAAAGTTGGTTCATTATGGGGATGAATAATCGTCATGATTGTCCTTTTGGTGGTTTTCTTCTTTCTGCCATGACAAGCACCAAACATTCCTTCTAGTTCTAGCTAGCTTCTTGTTGATGCTAAAAATCTTAGATAGGCTAAGTGAAGAAACTCACAAAAATACAGCTATATATAGAGAGAGGGAGAAGGAGGAGCATGGCCTTATCATAGGAGGAGCCATGGCATCCTTCGATTAATAAGTTTTTACTGACTCTGGGATAGTAGTATTTGAAGGAGACGTATATGTCGGGGAGAGAGACAGAGTGAGATAGAGAGAGTGTTGTCGAAGATATAAAGCGAGATCGACAGGGAGGGAGCGGGAGAGGAGAGATCGAGATCGATGGAGAGGGAGAGGGAGGATAGAGAAAGGGATGTTGGAGCCTGGAGGCAAGATCAGCGAGATAGAGACCAGAAAGAGGACCTAAGGGCTGGATAAAAGAGGAAGGGAAAACCAAAAGACGAGATCCTCGTCTTACGCTAAACCATCCAAACACAAATTTATCCCTCCCAAATCTCAACTCTTAATTTGAAAAAAAGAGAAACAAACGGTTCTAAATTAAAGTTGGTTGGCGTGATCGATGCATGTCAACTCTTGAAAAGGTTGGCACATACACTAACTGGCTAACTTGTGCTCTTGATTCCTAATCAAATTTAAAGCTAGTACTAACTCTACTAGTTGCGACAACAGGTTTTTCGAAGACCATTTTCCGCTGAAAGCATCATTAAGAATGAGTTCCGGAATCAAATTGGCGTCAATGCTACATTATCGATTTTATGCGGTTAAATTGACAATTTTTTTTATAACAACGACCACTTTTGTTTCATAATATATCGTTTAATTGCCAAACCATCCATACAAATGCAATATATACAGAATTTCCTACACCCTAGACCCAAGCATGTTGGACTGGTAAATAATTTCCTACACCAAGATCCACCTAAATAATAATTTAAAAAGAGGGTAGGAATAACTTTCACATAAAACATTCCCAATTAATGATGATCATACAATTCAATTGAACAAATGAAACTAGATCAAATTTTGAATGAACTAAGAAAAAAGGGTAATGGAAAAGAAAAGAAACTAGTTCATGGTGGTGGATCCAAGATTGAGTTATAGGGGAGGGAACATCAAATTTTA